TCTCATTTCCAGTTCCTTGGCCTGGAGGATATCTCATTTCCAGTTCCTTGGCCTGGAGGGTATCTCATTCCCAGTTCCTTGGCCTGGAGGGTATCTCATTCCCAGTTCCTTGGCCTGGAGGATATCTCATTTCCAGTTCCTTGGCCTGGAGGATATCTCATTTCCAGTTCCTTGGCCTGGAGGATATCTCATTTCCAGTTCCTTGGCCTGGAGGATATCTCATTTCCAGTTCCTTGGCCTGGAGGGTATCTCATTCCCAGTTCCTTGGCCTGGAGGGTATCTCATTTCCAGTTCCTTGGCCTGGAGGGTATCTCATTCCCAGTTCCTTGGCCTGGAGGATATCTCATTTCCAGTTCCTTGGCCTGGAGGGTATCTCATTCCCAGTTCCTTGGCCTGGAGGATATCTCATTTCCAGTTCCTTGGCCTGGAGGGTATCTCATTCCCAGTTCCTTGGCCTGGAGGATATCTCATTTCCAGTTCCTTGGCCTGGAGGATCTCTCATTTCCAGTTCCTTGGCCTGGAGGATATCTCATTTCCAGTTCCTTGGCCTGGAGGGTATCTCATTCCCAGTTCCTTGGCCTGGAGGATATCTCATTTCCAGTTCCTTGGCCTGGAGGATACCTCATTTCCAGTTCCTTGGCCTGGAGGGTATCTCATTTCCAGTTCCTTGGCCTGGAGGGTATCTCATTCCCAGTTCCTTGGCCTGGAGGATATCTCATTTCCAGTTCCTTGGCCTGGAGGGTATCTCATTTCCAGTTCCTTGGCCTGGAGGGTATCTCATTCCCAGTTCCTTGGCCTGGAGGATCTCTCATTTCCAGTTCCTTGGCCTGGAGGATATCTCATTCCCAGTTCCTTGGCCTGGAGGGTATCTCATTTCCAGTTCCTTGTCCTGGAGGGTATCTCATTTCCAGTTCCTTGGCCTGGAGGGTATCTCATTCCCAGTTCCTTGGCCTGGAGGGTATCTCATTTCCAGTTCCTTGGCCTGGAGGATACCTCATTTCCAGTTCCTTGGCCTGGAGGATCTCTCATTCCCAGTTCCTTGGCCTGGAGGATACCTCATTTCCAGTTCCTTGGCCTGGAGGGTATCTCATTCCCAGTTCCTTGGCCTGGAGGGTATCTCATTTCCAGTTCCTTGGCCTGGAGGGTATCTCATTTCCAGTTCCTTGGCCTGGAGGGTATCTCATTCCCAGTTCCTTGGCCTGGAGGGTATCTCATTTCCAGTTCCTTGGCCTGGAGGATACCTCATTTCCAGTTCCTTGGCCTGGAGGATATCTCATTTCCAGTTCCTTGGCCTGGAGGATATCTCATTTCCAGTTCCTTGGCCTGGAGGATATCTCATTTCCAGTTCCTTGGCCTGGAGGGTATCTCATTTCCAGTTCCTTGGCCTGGAGGGTATCTCATTCCCAGTTCCTTGGCCTGGAGGGTATCTCATTTCCAGTTCCTTGGCCTGGAGGATATCTCATTTCCAGTTCCTTGGCCTGGAGGATATCTCATTTCCAGTTCCTTGGCCTGAAGGATATCTCATTTCCAGTTCCTTGGCCTGGAGGATATCTCATTTCCAGTTCCTTGGCCTGGAGGGTATCTCATTTCCAGTTCCTTGGCCTGGAGGATATCTCATTTCCAGTTCCTTGGCCTGGAGGGTATCTCATTTCCAGTTCCTTGGCCTGGAGGATCTCTCATTTCCAGTTCCTTGGCCTGGAGGATCTCTCATTTCCAGTTCCTTGGCCTGGAGGATAACTCATTTCCAGTTCCTTGGCCTGGAGGATATCTCATTTCCAGTTCCTTGGCCTGGAGGATACCTCATTTCCAGTTCCTTGGCCTGGAGGATATCTCATTTCCAGTTCCTTGGCCTGGAGGCTATCTCATTTCCAGTTCCTTGGCCTGGAGGATACCTCATTTCCAGTTCCTTGGCCTGGAGGATATCTCATTCCCAGTTCCTTGGCCTGGAGGATATCTCATTTCCAGTTCCTTGGCCTGGAGGATATCTCATTTCCAGTTCCTTGGCCTGGAGGATATCTCATTCCCAGTTCCTTGGCCTGGAGGATATCTCATATCCAGTTCCTTGGCCTGGAGGGTATCTCATTTCCAGTTCCTTGGCCTGGAGGATATCTCATTTCCAGTTCCTTGGCCTGGAGGATATCTCATTTCCAGTTCCTTGGCCTGGAGGATATCTCATTTCCAGTTCCTTGGCCTGGAGGATATCTCATTTCCAGTTCCTTGGCCTGGAGGATATCTCATTTCCAGTTCCTTGGCCTGGAGGATATCTCATTTCCAGTTCCTTGGCCTGGAGGATATCTCATTTCCAGTTCCTTGGCCTGGAGGATATCTCATTTCCATTTACCTCATTCCCCCCGGCATTGTACTGATTCTTTCACTGGCTCTATCACCCGGAAAGGGAGGAAAGCAGCTCGGGGTTGGGATGGTGGTGGGAGGTGGAAAGGGTCGATTTGGGGTGGAGACACCAGAAATTGGGGGAAAGTTGGGCGGCACTAAATCCACTTCTCGGGTTCTCATCCTGCATTTCGCCTTCAGTTGGAAGCTCTCTTTTCTTAGCTTTCATGGAATGAACCTCCTGCTCTCACCGCGTCTCTGGGCCTTCTACATGCCATGCGCTCTTCTCCTGCTTCCCAGGTCAGAGCGGGGAGGGGGGGTGGGAGGGGTGGTTAGGGGGGAGGCTTCCAAAGCTCTGCTCCCAGTGTCTGGTCTCTCATTACACGCACTTGTGCATTCCATGCATACATGCTTATGTATGTTAATGTGTAACCAAGTGCTTTTCTCCAAAATAACTAAAGACAAAAAATAAGACCTTACATATTTGGAAAAAATAAAAACAATGTATTGTACGAAGCAATAACTTATTTCGTATGGTGTAATAAAACCACAGTAACCAAGATAACATTCCATCAGAAAAAAGACTGAACTACGGATACATGCTAAAACATAGATGAACCTTAAAAATATGACAAGTGAAATAAGCCAGATAATACATGTAATTAAATTTATAAGAAATGTCCAGAATGGGCAGTCCTATAAAGACAGAAAATAGGTTAAGTATTGGTTGCCAGGAAGTTGGGGAAGAAGGGGATGAGTGACTGCTACTGGGGTGGCTTTTATTTTGTTTGATGAAAATATTATGGACATTGTTTAGTTATTGCACAATCTTGCGAATATACTAAAACCACTTTATTTTTATATTTTTAAATTTTATTTTTGAACTTTATTTTTATTGCTGACACTCTTACAGATGTCCCCACTTCTCTCTCCTCCCCTTTCCCACCTCCACCCAACCCCTTCTTCCCCTTCCCTCTGGCCACCACACTGCTGTCTGTGTCTCTGGGTTTGCATATATATTCTTTGGCTAATCCCTTCACCTTTCATCCAGTTCCCCTTCCGTCTCCCCGCTGGCAGCTGGCAGTCTGTTCCATGTATCCGTGCCTTTGTTTCTATTTTGTTTGTCAGTTTATTTTGTACACTAGGTTGCACATATAAGTGAGATTATATGGTATTTGTTTTTCTCTGACTGGTTTACTTCACTTACCATAATTATCCCCAAGGCCATTGGTGCTATTGCAAAAGAAAAGATTTCCTTCCTTTTCATGGCCACACAGTATTTCATTGTGTAAATGTACCACAGCTTTTTTATCCACTCATCTACTGATGGGCACTTGGGCTGCTTCCAGATCCTGGCTGCCATAAATAATGCTGCTATGAACGTAGGGGTGATATATTCTTTCGAATTGGTGTTTGGGGATTCTTAGAGTAAATTCCAAGAAGTGGGATCACTGGGTCAAACGGCAGTTCCATTTTTAATTTTTGTGGAAACTATACAGTTTTCCAAAGTGGCTGCACCAGTCTGCATTCCCACCAGCAGTGCACTAGGGCTCCCTTTTCTCCACATCCTCTCCAACACTTGTTGTTTTGTTGATTGAATGTAGTCATTATGACAGGTGTGAGGTGATATCTCATTGTGGTTTTAATTTGCATCTCTCTGATGATCAGTGAGTGACATTGAGCATCTTTTCATATGTCTTTTGGCCATCAGTATGTCCTCTTTGGAGGAGTGTCTATTCAGGCATTTTGCCAGTTTTTAAATTGGACTGTTTGTTTTCCTGGTGTTGAATTGTATAAGTTCTTTATATAGTTTAGAAATTGCCCCTTATCAGGTAAACTATTGACGAATATGTTCTCCCCTGCAGTGGGTTTCCTTTTCATTTTGTTGATAGTTTCTTTTGCTGCGCAGAAGCCTTTTATTTTGATGGAGTCCCATTTGTTAATTTTCTCCTTTGCTTTCCTTGCCCCAGGAGATGTATCACAAACATATTGCTATGAGAGATGTCTGAGATTTTACTGCCTATGTTTTCTTCTAGGATTTTCATGATTTTACGACTTACATTTAAGTCTTATCCATTTTGAATTTATTTTTGTGTATGGTGTGAGTTGGTGGCCTAGCTGCATTGTTTTGCACGTACCTGCCCAATTTTCTCAACACCATTTATTGAAGAGACTGTCTTTATTGTATGCTCTTGCCTCCTTTGTCAAATATTAATTGACCATATAGGCATGAGTTGATATCTGTACTACCTGTTGTATTTCATTGATCTCTATTCCTGTCTAAAAATACTTTAAAATGATGAATTTTATGGTCTGTAAATTATATCTCAATAGAAAAGAACTGTATAAGGAAAAAATACTTATTACTATAATTAGCAGACCATTTAGGACAAGTATATCCTCAAGGTAATAAGAGGATAAATGGTGCTGGAAACAATAAAATAAAAATTTAAAAAGAGTTAATTGATGGATGTCGAGAACTGCTAGAAATCTTTTTCTAGACCACAAGTACCACCATCATTTGCTGAATAATAAGACAGGAGTGATCTTCGAGTAAGTTACCCCATGTAATCTCTAAGAAGTTGTGTCCGATAGTTACATTTGGTTAGCGAGCTAACTTCTTCATTCCAAACGCTCTCTCTTACACATTATTTTAATTTTACTTTCAGCATCAGCATGACAACCTGTTCCACAGTGGCTGCCCTGGGAATGATGCCACTCTGCCTTTATCTCTACACCTTGTCCTGGAATTTTGAGCAGAATTTCACCATTCCATATCAGAACATAGGTCTGTATGAGCTTATGAAATGAAAGAGTAACAGGAATGGGGACAGTAAGAGTAATAGCTATTGTTTACTAAGTGTCTCCTTTAGGCAGGGTTGTTTTTTGTCTTTTTTTTTGGTTTTGTTTTGTTATTGCTGTTACCTAATTTAATTTTCTAAGTAACCCCACAGTACAGATTCTATTACTAGTGCCATTTCCTAGATTTTCAGGATTAGAGAGATTAAGTAACTTGACCAAGTTTGTGCAGCTGGTAAGGACAGCACCAGAATTCTGACTTAGGAATCTGACAGCAAAGTCCAAGCTCTTAACCCCTACATAAGCTCATGTTTGAAAATAAAACCAGAAAACTTATTTATTAAAAACATTTATATAGTTTATTGTAAAGCAACTGGACTCATCATGACCAAAAGGTTACCTGGATCACAGCAGCTCTAATGAGACGTCAGTTCCGACCAGTCCACCTTTCACATTGCCTGTGAGCCTTGACTTCTTTGCTGATCAACAGAAATGATTCCTGTTGATTATTGAAGTGTGTCCACATGTCACAACTATTCTCCTTTTCATTATCTCTTTTCCTGAATATTATTTCTCATCAAACTCTGCCCAGTTCCTAGAGATATCTGTGGACTCACCAGGCTTAGAAGAAAAACTGGATAAAATGATCTGCCTGTTCTAGTTTGGTCAGAGTCTCTGGAGAGCTGGTAGAAACTATGACTTTTAAAAGTCTAGCATGTCAATCTGGAGTCTCAAGTCGGCACTTGGAGGCCTTGCCACCCCTGGTCCATATTTCAAAACCATGACTAGCGCCATCTTCTGATAATAGCTGGAGACTATTGACTTTGTAAAATTTGAGGGAAATCTTAATTTAGAGATCATGATTTTATGTACAATCTACTCTGATTAGTAAGTTACTTAATATATTGTTTTGATAACATATTCTGAAAGACATTCATAAATTATTAAAACCCAAAATATTATGAGCAATTTGTATAACTTTGGAGCCAGTATTGCAGGCAAGTAGCTCTGGAAATGTCAGCGTATGGATGCCGTTGGCAAGATGACCCCTGCTCTACTGAGCCTGCCTTCAGTGCCTTTATTTGCTTGTGTTAATTAAAAGGCATTTTTTTCCTACTTGCATTTGGGTTACCTAGCTACACTTGGACACTAGGAGACTGGCTTTGGTATGTGTAACAAGTGCTGTTTTTTTATGTCTGAAACAGGTATTCTTACTTTGTGAAGCAAATGACTCATTGGCGTCCAATAGGGAACAATAGCTGTGGTTGCGGAGGGGACCCCATACAGAGCACGAAAGATGATCACAGATTAAAGAGCGTCCTCCTGTGTGCTAACTTTACATTTCCAGTTGTCCCTGAAATTCCATGGGGTTGTCAGAAGGATTCTGAGAGACACGATGGACCAAACATGGTGGCACTCAGTAGTATCAGATCCTCTTCAAAGACTGTCTTTCAAAGATTGAAAAAAAAAAAAAATTGGAGGTGGATGCAGAAGCAAAATGTAGCTTTAATGAAAGCTTTTATCTAATTGAAATAGAAATTGTTGAGGCTCGAGGGTTAGGGTAAGAGGCGATGCCATCTGACGGATTTCTCTTCTATTCAGGGATTTCCCTCCTGTGCCTGACCGTTCCTGTGGCCTTCGGTATCTATGTGAATTACAGGTGCCCCAAACAATCCAAAACCATCCTCAAGGTAAGCGGCTCCGCCTAGCAATGGGCATATCCTCAGACTCAGAGACATAACAGATGGATGTAGCAATGATTGAAACAAACAAGCCAGTCACATGCGGTCCCACACCCAGCAATTTTCCCTGCCTGTCCTACATTTTTGGATCCTACGTCCAAGTTTCCTCGGCTTCTCTAAGCCTTGCTCTGTCACTCCCATAGACCATCAGCCGAGGCTTACGACACCCCGGAAAGTGTGGGACTCCCGCTGGAGTGACAGGAAGCTGAGGCCTGTGTGTGGTCAGAGAACCCAGGGCCCATCCACTCCCAAGGCTTCACACAGGCGCCCAGCCGGCCGCTGTTCAGGGGTGCGCGCTGTGGAGCCCAGCGTTTAGGGAGCAGAGCTGGTTTCATGGAAGAGAGGGACCAAGGGCTGGCTGGTTTCGGAAACATTCCTGGGGGGAGCTCCTAAGGTTGTAGTTTGTACACACGGGCCAGGGCTGCCGGCCCCGTGAAGACCTGTCACAGTGAGATACATCACCCAGAGCACGTGGAGGAGCCTGGCCATGGAATAGTGGCAACTCCCGCCGCCTCCTTCCAGGCCGTCTTGTGTTTGCGGGAGAACCAAGCACATGCCCCTGTTAAATGGCTTGTGAAAATAACTAGCTGGACAGAGGATATTCTCAACAAGGGTGTCACTCTCTGGGGTGCTTTCTGATTCCCCAGTCACGTATTGTTTTATTTATTTTTATAGATGCTTATTTTTAGTATATATATATATATATATATATATATATATATATAAAAGAGGAAAGGAGAGGGAGAGAGAGAGAGATACATCAGTGATGAGAGAGAATAATTGATAGGTTGCCTTCTGCACGCCTCCCCCCCACCTGGGCATGTGCCCTTGATCAAATCGAACCCAGGACCTTTCAATCCACAGGCCAACACTCTATCCACTGAGCCAAACCAGCCAGGGCTATGTATTGTTTTAGAAGACAGAGAATTGAATGTGCTATTTTCATGAAGAGTTTAAAAGTGTTGTAGTTATATTTTACATTCATAAGGAAATAAACATTGGGGGCTAACTGGAGGTTCAGCAAATATGTCTGAGTTCATTTCAGCTGAAGGTGTACAGTTTGGTTCAGTTTAAGCGCCTGCCATTTGGCTCTACCTGGCAGAACATGGCCGCTCCATTTGCCTGCACAAATGGACGCTGCTTTCCCGGTTTGGCCCAAAACCAAACCACTGCCATCATCCCTCCAATGAGATGAGGAATATGAGAAAGGGAGACACGCAGACAAGTCAGCAGGCACAGAGCGCTGGGGGAGGCTTCCACGGTGTGTACAGGAGTGATGTTATTTTGGTAAAAGAAAATGTCTAATGAGGCAGTTTATGGTTATAACTTTGTTTATAAAACAAGAGAAGAAAGTATGATTATTGGAACCTCTTACTTTTCAAGTACTCTACCCTTGATTATTTTCTAACAAAGAAAGTCACGATTTTGGTGTTTTCAGATCTGTCAGTGACTGTGGGGAAATCAGATATATTTTCTGTAGGTCAGTTTTATTTCTGTAAAGGTCAGATTTAAAACCCTTTTCTTTTGGCTATTCCATTGGATTTGTGGCAGCAAATTTTTAGTAATATGCATAAATATCCTAGAGTGCCTTCATTAAAAAAAAAAAGGCTGGGAAAATTTCATCATTATTTTGGTATATCTTCAATCTGTTCTTCATCCTCTTTTTAAAAAAGATATAGACCACTGTTTTATTTTATTTATTTATTTATTTATTTAATTTACTTACTTATTTAAAACAAATATGGAACTCTTCATGAATTTGCATGTCATCCTGGCCCAGGGGCCATGTTAATCTTCTCTGTATCGTTCCAATTTTAGTATATGTGCTGCCGAAGCGAGCACTGTTCTTCATACTCTTTTAATTTAAGATCTGATTCATTTTCTAAACAAATTGCTTTCTGTGAATTTTAAACTTTCAATCCCCTTTTTGGTAGAAAGATGCAGAGGGACATTTATAGTCCCAGGCCTTCTCAGTGTGTTCCACCATCTTCCAGAGAGGTGAGGCCCAGTCTGTCCCTGTGTTTGGGCAGTAAAGGTGCCTCCGGAACACATCTATGGCACACTGAGTTGTTTTTGTTTTGTTTTGGTTACCCATGGCTACCTGAATCATTTCACATCAAGGTTGATGCTGTAACTAGGTGCATAGTTTGCTGTCAACCTGGTATGAATGGGAGCTTGCCAAGATCCTGATCTTTCCCAAATATTCTAGCTCTTGTTTCTTTCCTATCTGATCGAAGACTCAAACCACTGGAAAATTTTCTGTTGACTTTTTGTTTCTGATAAACAACAAAAGAGACAGCATTCATTTGGGAGAGGGTAGAAGTATTTGTCAGTACCTCTCAGATTACATTAATTAGCTCAGATTGTCTCATGAAGAATGGGTAAATTTCACTTGGAGGAGAGAAGGGCAGAGACCAAAGCAGTAAGAAGCCACTGGTGGGTGAAGAGATGGTGGGAAGAGAGCGGGGGATGGTCAGGTGGGAAGGATCTCAGATAAGAGGGTACCAGCGAGGTATCTAAGAGGTATATGTATGGGTGTTGGATGCTTATTGTCAGGTTTCACTTATTTCACAAATATGTCCTATCCATGAATACGACCTCCCAATCTTTCTGACCAAATCCTCCACTTAAAGGGAGAAGATACAGTTCATAACACAAGAAGACTGAGCTTCGTGTTGAGCCTTACCAGTTTCTAGCTTAGCCAAGTCACGTGACCACTTTGTACCACAGGTTTATTCTCTGTTGAATGATGTATCTGGTGGTCTCAAAGTCCTCTTTAGACTTTGCATGGTAGAATCTAAAGACCATGATGTTTATGTACTTATTTTATTGGTTTGCTTTAGATTGGGGCCATTGTTGGTGGGGTCCTCCTCTTGGTGGTCACAGTTGCTGGTGTGGTGCTGTCGAGAGAATCTTGGAATCCAGACATCTCCCTACTGACCATCAGTTGCATCTTTCCTTTGATTGGCCATGTCGCGGGCTTTCTGCTGGCACTTCTTACCCACCACTCTTGGCAGAGGTACAGTTAAACTATCCATAAACTTGGTTGAGAAAAATAAATTAAACACATAGCCTTTGTTGTCTGGCTGAGTCTGGAAACTCAGAGAGTTTTGACTTACAAGGTGGACGGAACAGGACAGCTCATCATACAGAGGGTGAAAAGTTCACAGTGATTCACTATGTAAATGAAAGCAAAGGCCAGATTGATGGATGCTGTAATCTGTGACATTAGGATTTGGGTGTTGATACCACTTGTAATCTGGACACCTTGCTCTTCATATTCTAGTGGCTAAATAGGAGGGGGGAGATGGTTTCACTAAATATAGAGATCATTCCAGGGCATGAGCAAGTTCAAGGAATTAAGCATATATGCCTTGTTTGTGCCAATTTTTAAAAAGGTGCTACTTCTGAGGGGCAAGAAGAGAAAGGGCCAACTTGAGAAATAAAATAGAAATTTATCTTAAATATTATCATTACAAGTTGGGGAATATAATTTATAAATGCTGTGAAATATTAAAAATGATAATATTCCATGCTATTGGAATAGATGAGATGAGCATTATTATACACTGTTGGGGGGTAACATAAATTGGCATAAACTGTCTAAAAGGCAAGTCACTTCGATAGCCTTTTCAATATTTATAGCTAGCAGTGGTTTTCCCTCTGGAATTCTATCCTGAAGCTATCAGGTAAATGCACAAATATTGATATGCAAAGATGTTGATTGCAGTGTTATTCATAAATATAAAAAATAGAAACAATTTAAATATCTAACAATACAGATTTATTTCATGATGTGGCTATGTGATGGAATATGATGTCTCAATTTTAATTCTTTTGAAAATACTTAAGAGATAAATTTGAGTTAAAAAAGAAAGGAAAACAGTTGCATTTTGAGCCTCTTATAGAAGGAAGAAAAAGAATTTTACGCACAAGAAAATACTGGAAGAAATATACCATATGCTAATAGTGTTTATTTTGAGTAGTGGGGTTAAGACTAATTTTAATTACTTCACATTTTTGGTATTTTTTTATGTTTTTCGTTGAGCATGTAATTCTCAATTCTTTTAAAATCAGAAAAGAATTTTTGAAGAAAAGTAAACTGTGCAGTTGAACTCCCAAGGTGGAGTTTGGGGAAAATGTCGCTGGCCTCCTGCTGCTTCCAGTTCACTTGGGAACATTTAGGATCGTCCACAGTACGGGGTGCGGCTCCACCACGAGCATCTCATTTACTTGCTACAAAGCCTCAGAGATATCATCAGTAATTGGCAGATGAGCAAACGCTTTGGAAAAATTAAGCAACTTGACCAAGTTCATTGAGCCAGAATGTGGTAGAGTTAGGATTTGGTCCTGGGTTTGCTTCCAAAGTTAGGAACAGGGACTGTGGAGTGGTTGAGACATAATTGGATCTGGAGAGAAAGTATTCCTCTAGCAAAGAGTAGTCAACAATCTCATTCCCCCCCCCTCCCCCCCACCTGATGGCTTAAGAAAGCTCAGGCCTGAGATACCGCATGTGCCCAGTGAATGGCCAGGTGTGAGGTCCAGCTGGTAGCTTAGTTGTATGAAGGTAGGGTAGTCTGAAGAAAGCATAGCAAGTAATGGGGTCACTCTACATAATATAAGAGCCACAGAACTCGTCCTGTGACAAGTGAGGACATTTTCACGCCCACATTCCACACCCACCTTCCAGTCCAGCTTACCTCCTGAACACCTCTCCTCTCCTCCATCCATAAAAACCTGAAGACTCCCTTTATAACCTGGAGACAGAGGAACCTGCTTCCTCCAGCCTCAAGGTCCTGCCTATGTCTTCTTTTTTCTTCCCCCTGCTTTTTCTTTTCCAAGTGAGGTTTATTTTCTTTTTGGCAATTAGAAAACCAATAAAATAGAGGAAAGTGGAAAAGGTCTTTTTGTGTTTACTTCGAAGTGTTGTTTAGTTTCTACTGTTCCTGTCTCTAACTCAGCGTTCCCTTCTCATCCCGAAACCTCTGCTCTTCACAGATTGGCTTACAGCACGTGCAGTGCCTCCTGGTAGGCAAACTCACACCTGTCCCTGGAACTTTAATTTCAGTCATTGTCCCCCAGTAAATGCCTCTTCCCTCTCCCCATCCTTTCATCCCACTTCCTCTGTGAAGCCTTCTCTAACCACTGACTCCCCTTTTCTAAATGTCTACAGCCTCCCCCCCGATTTGTCTGGTGGTGGTGCTGAATTTTCCCGTGTGTATAGCTTGACTTTTCAAGCAGATTCCTAGGGTGGGGTTCCTAGAGCCCTCCTCCCAACTGCCTCTCAGGAGACCACCTACAGAGTAGGCACTCAGCAAGTCATTATTGAACGAGTAAACATTTTAGGGGCCTAAGCCCACAGCGTACATTTATTGCTATTTGTAAGAGAACATTTAAGAATAGTCCTTATTGCTATTATGTAACTCTTGAAAAAAAAATGTTCATTGTAGGTGCAGGACAATTTCCTTAGAAACTGGAGCCCAGAATATTCAGATGTGCCTCACCATGCTGCAGCTCTCTTTCACTCCCCAGCAGCTGGTCCAGATGATTAGCTTCCCCATGTCCTATGGACTCTTCCAGGTGTTGGATGGATTTCTCATTGTTGCAGGTGGGTAGAGCCCCGTCGGGTACGCTTGACCGAAAATTGTTGACCCAACTTACCAACTCCCTTTTCAGTCCAAACATGCACGGGCCGTCCTCGTGATACATTTTAGCCTGACATTTTTTTGGGCAAATAAAGGGCACCAGTGACATCCTTTACCACAAAGTGGAAGCTTCACAGAAAAATATAGAAAACCATGGGACAGCGAGCTGACAAAGATAAACAAGTATGCTTCACCAAAAAATAGCGCACTATCAAAACTTAGATTTCAGGATTGAGCAGTCTCCAGGAGCAATCATTTATTTCAAAACAGACACTGTGTTTCATCGAGCCAAATGTCAAGTTATTTCACAGTGTTCTGTGGCAAAGAATTGTGCTGAGTGGCTGTGACATATTTTTCAAATATAATACATACACAAATATTGAAATTAATTGTGTGTGTGTGTGTATACAGGGTGGGGCAAAATAGGTTTACAGTTGTTCGTATGGAAAATAATACAATCTATAATAATAAAAGGATAATATGCTAATTAGACTGGACAGCTTCCGGACGTCATTCCGGACTTCCTTCCTAATGAAGCTGGAGCCGGAGGGAAGCCAGCCACAGTCCCGGGTGCCTGTGGGTGGCCCGAGGGAAGCCAGCCGGGTGCTGGAGGGAAGCCGGTGCCAGCAGCTGGGGGAAGGAAGGCCGACTCTTGCACGAATTTTCGTGCATCAGGCCTCTAGTTAATAAATAACAAATAAGAACAAACTCTGTGTTTCACGCACTGACAACTATACACCTACTTTGCCCCACCTTGTTTGCTGTTTACTCATACACGTCATTTTGGAATCAGTCACTATTTAGAGTCATAAGGAAAATTTTAAAAATATATAGATGGGCAGATATGAACACACACATATGTATTTTAATCTTGGGCCATGGTCAATTTTTATTATTGTCAGGGAACAGGCGCTGAGTAAGTCTCAGTGATTGCTGATACAGCTGCTTATATACTGATTACTGATATAACAATCAATATAAGGAATACTGGGGGTTTACTTTCCAACAAGATAAGGGAAATCCTCAGAGACACCTGGACTTCGACTCAAGCTTGAATTCCTTCTCCTGGTGAGACCGTGAGGGAAGGAACGTGGGATTCCCAGCTCCATGGGAGTTGCTGGCAGACTGACAGTTGCGGCGAGTGAGCCGTCGGTGAGCTGATGACTAAGTCTCATTCACAAATGGTCCATTCCAGACAGAGTTGCCATTTTGATACAATAAATTATTTTGTTTCATAGTTTCCTGCGTGTTAATACATACACGACCCCAAACAAATTCTCAAGGTCACCAAATTATAATCCTTGCTAACATGATTTTTTAAATTACTTGTGTGTTTTCACATCTAGCATATAAGCTGTACAAGAGGAGACTGAAGAATAAACACAGAAAAAAGACCCCGGGCTGTTCAGAAGGCTGCCGTAACAAGAGCTCCACCTCTCCCCAGGAGACCGGTGCTTTCTTGGAGGTGAATGAAGAACTCGCTATAACTCCTGGGACATCAGAGCCAATGGATCCCCCCGTGGCTCTCGAGCCCATGGGCCCCATCTCCTCATGTGCGCAGTAGCGGCTTGCTGGCCCGCCTGGACGCCGGCTACCTCCGCCCGTTAGTAAAGCTGGTGCAGGGCTGATGTGTGGATCTCATTGGCAAGGCCTGTGGGAATAGCTATGTTTTTGTGTGGGTTGTAAATCTTCCCAGGATCCCTTTTTGCGAATGTATTCTGCCTATTTCAGGGAGTCCTTTGGGGTTTACACCACATATTTACTAGTGGCTGTGTTCTTGTCTTCCCAGTGCTATGTGCAGTCGTCCTCCCTGTGGCTTTTAATCCCAGGAGAGGAGGGACTCTGTGCAGAGATGCGATCTCCTATTTAGGGCAAGGACAGTCTGAACCCTCTTGGCTTTGGGACGGTTCTTTGGAGCAGTGGGGAGGAAGCATACAGGTCTTAGAAAACATGGGGTCTTTTCTCAAATGATTGCTAAACCTTAAGGGCTTAGAGTCTTTTTGGATTCTAACTGTAATACAGGTTTAGAGGAAAGTTAATGAACACTTGAGGTTAAAAGGTGAATGCCCCATATTTTCACTCCCCAGTGATAGGCACATGGATATCCTTCATGTTTACACATTATATCACTTTAAAAAGACTGGGCTTTTCCCACGTATACTGTCTAATAAGTCACTTAATGACATATTATGGGACACCTTCACACATCGGTCTGTGTTGATCTGCCTCACTTTAGAACAATGGCTTTGTAGAAGCATTTCACTGCCCGGAAGGACTGACTGATTTAAAGTTCCCCATTCATGGGCATTTAGAGAGCTTTCAATTCACTGGCATTACGATGCTGCTACACACGCCTGTGCCCTCTGGGGGCATGTCTGTAGGGTCACTTTCTACAACTTGAATTGCCAGACTAATTGTACAGGAAAACGTTGGACTGTGCCCTCCGGCAATGCTGTGTGCGCAGCGGTGCCGAGCGGGCCTGGGTTCCCATCGCCCCAGCTAAAGGATGATCGGTTTGGATTTGTGAGAGCATCTCATTTAAAGCCGCATGTAATCAATTATGAGTAAAGTATTTTTCACTTGCCTACTCATGTTGTTTGCCTGCTTTTCTATTTCATTTTTTCCTTTTTGATTGGTAAGTTTTAACACATATGGAGAGTGACCCTTTGTCCTGTTTTTTCATCATTTTACCTGCTCATTTATCTTTTGCTCTCTGTAATGCCTTTTGCTGTACAGTTTTATATTTTTTACATATTAAGCAGTATTAGTTTTTTAAAATAATGTTTTTGACCTTGATCTCTGTCCAGTATTGGAAATTTATATTTTTATGTGATTGTGAATTGTGAAAGGATTCCTTGTTGAGAATGTATTTGGCCCCTTTTCAGGGAGTTCATTTTGGGTGTTTACTAGGGGCTGTGTGTACTGCCTGGCATTGTAAAACCAATCCTCCTCCTCTATTCTTACATTAAAAATATTTCCCATATACTTTTATCTTGATTTTATGAGAAACTAAACATATACATATTTTATTCCCTTTTGAAATGTATCTTTCTGTATGGTGTGTTAACCCTACCAGACCGCTGTACCGATTTTTCGGTAATTTCCGAATCTGCCGCTATACCGCCATACCTAATTTTTGGTACTTTGCCTAGACCTATTTTCTACAATACCTTCAAGTTCCATCTTATTGTAACCACTTGTTTGCATGTAACTAACATTTTTCTATATCATGTTGGTTTTTTCTCTTTAATGCTCAGGAGCCCAGGTATAGGGGACAGTTAGGTTCAGGGCCTCAGGTCTGGTATGGTTAAGAATGTAATCTTTTCATGATTAATTGTCCCAATATCACATATTGACTCATTCATCTTTTCTTTTCTGATTTCAAGTGCCTCCTTTATCACCTAACTTCCTATATAATGTTCTTTTTTTGTTGGGATTCTATTGGGTTCCATTTTTCCCCCTGTCTATTCTCATTTGTAAGTTTTGAAGTGTGTAAGAAAGTATATTGTCTGAGATAAATCTTTACGATTTTATTTTGTAAGTATTCCCAAGAACTCGTGGGGTAATATAATGCCCATGATTATTACGGTAGTTTCACAACAATTGAACAAGCCTTTGTGGTGGCACAGACAGAGCCCCATGAGGTATCACGGGTGTATTTACATGGAAAAGAGCTCCGCAGACCTTTGCCGGGGCTGTTAATTCTCCAGGGCTGCCTGACCCTTGGGGGTTCCCATTTACCCTCCTACAAACGAGAAGGGTAGAGAAGCCGGTCCAAGTTGTGCACAGGCACAGGGCACAGCAGCAGTAACCAGGCAGGAGGGTTCCTGCTCATGGGGAGCCTTTTCTCTGCCAACGGGCATGTGGGTGTTTATCACATCATTCGAGGGCCATACAAATTATCAACTTAAAATTAGCCTGCGATATTTGGTCACACATTTAATGAACTCATCCCTAATGCCTCGGCAGGGCCAGGCCAAGTGATTTTGTGGGCCTTATCGGCCCGCGGGCCAGATGTTCCCCGCCCCTGGGTTACAGTCAGTGGGGAAGAGATCATCGCACTGAACACAGTAGAGTTGACCGTTAACAGAGATGCCAGTTCTGAAATGAGCATGACCATGAGTTTTAAAGACTGCACTGAAAAATGAATTTCTAAATTGTTTCTCTGCAGAGGAACTTAATACTAAACCGTAAAGTCCAACACACTGTTCTGCAAGGATTAACTAGCTGGTCAGCATGGTCAGCATTTACCATAGTCAGGACACTCCGGGGACAGGTCTACCAAAAGCCATTCCTTAAGACAGAAACAACGCCAATACGAGGGTTTGAGAGTAGTCACGTCAGAAGCCTTTCATCTCCAGGAAAGGTTTGTGCATGTGTTACTGAGAAGAGCTGGAGATAAGTAGTCTGGAGGCTTTAGGATGTAACTATGAAAAAGCTACCTGAATAAACTGTATTCTAACTAATCTAAATAACTACGAGTTCATAAAAGCCAGGGCCTATAAGAAGCTCAGAAGAAGTGGGGCCAGGGAAGTAAGGTTAAGCAGACTGAGCCCAGCTCTCTGTCTGGAAGGGAGCCAGGTGGGTGGTTAGGGCTGCACGCTGCAGTGGGAGGAGCACGGGTGTGGCCAGGGCTACCTGCTGAATCCATTTAAAAGGCCAGACTGCTTCTGGAGTTGTGGGTTGAAGGCAGACGTGGAATTGAATCCTAGCTCTGCTATTTGGTAAGTGACAGCCCCTCTGGGCTTCAGTTTCGACTCTGGAAAACAAAACAAAACAAAACCACTCTGAAATGTAGGTAGTGTGAAAACAGCTGTGTGATACCTGGGGAGTGAGCGGTAAGTGTCCTGCCCCCTACCTGTCCCTGTGCAGTCAGAGTCCTAGTGTAGAAAGGGTGATCCACCTCACCAGTGGGATGCGTCACACCTTCGCCTCGAACCACCTCTGACGAGTCTTTGTGTGTATGCACTTTCCCTCCTGGAGGAGCCTGGCCTGCCTGTCCAGGCTTATTTATTTTTTTTTAATTGTTTTATTGCTTAAAGTATTACAAAGAGTATCACATATGTCTCCTTTTTTTATTCTCCCCTTGACCTTCCCCTAGCCCCCCACACGCCCCAGTGTCTTGTGTCCATTGGTTATGCTTATATGCATGCACACAAGTCCTTCGGTTGATCTCTTAGCCCCTCCCCGGCCCGCCCCGGCCTTCCTGCCGTAGTTTGACAGTCTGTTCGATGCTGCTCTGCCTCTGTATCTATTTTTGTTCATCAGTTTATAATGGTCTTAATTATCCATAAATGAGAGAGATCATGTGGTATTTTTCTTTCTCTGACTGGCTTATTTCACTTAGCATAATGCTCTCCAGTTCCATCAGTGCTGTTGCAAATGGTAAGAATTCCTTCTTTTTTACAGCAGCATAGTATTCCATTGTGTAGATGTACCACAGTTTTCTAATCCACTCATCTGCTGATGGGCACTTAGGCTGTTTCCAGATCTTAGCTATGGTGAATTGTGCTGCTATGGACATAGGGGTGCATATATCCTTTCTGATTGTGTTTCTGGTTTCTTGGGATATAGTCCTAGGAGTGTAATCACTGGGTTAAATGGGAGTTCCATTTTTGTCCAGGCTTATTGATGCTGCTGGAGAGACCTCTGCTAAAAAGTTGGCAACATGGTTGGCTTATCAGGGAGCGCACTGAGTTTGCTTAGCTTGATCTTTAAGATATATCTAATTTTGGACAAATGGATAAAATTATGTTTCTAAACTTACAAAGCTGAAGACTACTTTCAAATACTTCCCATCTGTGAATCTCTTCTCCAAGTTACACATTCAGGTAGTTCTGGGGTCAGGGAGATTTTAAAGCTTGACCCAGTGTGCGCTACTACAGAAATGACGTCAGCTGGCAGAACTGGAAAGACGCACACTGCTTGCTGCTCTCCAGTATCTATTGTTTCCTTTGTCTTTATGAGCAAAACCAAGATGATTTTGTTCAGGACAGCAATATGCCTGGCTAAAAACTGTTTTGAAGCTAGAGATGGCCGTGTGATATAGTTCTTGCTAATAAGTGGAAGTCTATTTGTGGTTTCTGGAAAAGTTTGTTTTCTTGCCCTAAGTAGGCACGTACTAACCCTTTCTCCTGCCTTTTCTTCTCATTTCCTTTCTGGAATGTGGGTGTAACAGCTGGAGCTGCAGCAGCCATTTCCAGGCCGTGGGGGAAAGCCCAGGATAATTATGTATCTGTTGAAATTCCAGAAACTGCCTACTTCTAAACCTGTTTTTTGTTTTTTCTAAAGGAAATAAATCTCTAATTTGTGTAAGCTCATTTGGTTGGTTTTTGGTTACATGCAATCAAATGCAATTTCCAATGGACATAGTAACATTTAAATTAGCTTAAAAATATTATGCAGGTCAATGCATAATGTTACTTATATTTTCCTTCACCATCACAAGGTATCTTGGATATTTCTGAATTATGTAAAATGGGAACACATTCTCTTGTAGTCAAGGTATCTATGATCAGAGGATAGCTCTGATGAGCTGTTCTTTTGAATTTTTTGTATTCATCACATTGCACTTAGATAAGTAGTCATTTTAAAACCAAGCGCTCTGTCCTGGCCAGGGGGCTTAGTTGGTTGGAGCATTGTCCTATACACCAAAAGGTGGTGGGCTCAATGCCTGGTCAGGGCACATGCCTACGTTGCAGGTTCCATCACTGGTTGGGGTGAATGCGGGAGGCAACCGATCAATATTTCTCTCTCATATCGATGTTTTCTCTCTCTCTCTTCCTTCCTCTCTCTCAAATCGATGAAAAACATATCTTCGGGTGAGGATTAAAAACAAAAAAAAGCCTAAGGGATCTAGCAGGGTATTGGGAACCACAGATGTAAACACCTGATTATTTTCTCAATAGCTGTTTCTCTCCAAAAGTCTTAATTCGTAAATATTCCTACTAATGACACCGACCAAAGTTTTGGAGACAGAATGTTTCTAATCCTGCAGGGCTCAGGACTGTACTAAGGTACTAATTATTCTTTTAGAAAATAGCACTTAGTTAAGTTTTACAAATTATTCCATCACATTTGTTTCCTCTTCTGCAGCCCAGAGTGCCTGTCACAGGGAAACACCTGGTGGCCCCCAGCTTGCATGTGGGAGGGGCACAGTTTGACCAGTTCTTGCTGATGAGTGAGTGGCAGGCATAGGTTGGGCTTCCAGGCCTGCCCAACTCACACAATCCTCCCCCGGGGCTTTTACGCGCTTTCCCCTTTCCAGCCGGGGGATGGAGAGGATCCCCAGGATGACCTCGGAAGCTCCAAATGGATTACAGAACATCCGTCCTTCTGGGTTCCTGGAAATTGGAGGGAGGAGAGCCGCCCGGCTGAGCTCTTCTCTAGCCCAGACTGTTAGACTAGAAATGATGGAGCCCTTCGTTGGGGTGTGTATGTTACAACACTCAGTTATGTAGTGGGGGTGAGGAGGCCCGTTGTATTTATTCACTGTCTGACATGTGAATGCCTCCGCGTGCCACCGGGCTCTGGGGCCTTGCCTTGCTTTGGAACCAGCGTGGCCCCAGCCAACGGCCAGTCCCATTCCCTGACGGGGGAGCCAGGGCCTAGAGGGTGGGGACATGTTTACTCCGAGGGAGCTTCCAGGGGCTGTAATCCGAGGCCTGCATTTGCCTCCCAGTTTCCATTTCCTAGCTGCATTGCCTCCGGGAGAGGATCTTGCTCCAGCTTTCCCCTCTCCCATCTCTGCCGCCTGCAGATGGTGGCTAATCACCTCCAGCTGTACTGGCTCCTGCTCTGCTGGCCGCCCTGCCTGTGCTGTGACAGGAAAACAAGGCCTCAGGACTCCAACTCACTCAAAACGGGTTTCCAAATATGTTTTTTTAAGATTTTAAAAATCGATTTTTAGACAGAGGGAGAGCGAGAGTTTAGAGCAGAGGTTCTCAACCTTCCTAATGCCGCGACCCTTTAATACAGTTCCTCATGTTGTGGTGACCCCCAACCATAAAATTATTTTCATTGCTACTTCATAACTGTAATTTTGCTGCTGTTATGAATTGTAATGTAAATATCTGATATGCAGGATGTATTTTCATTGTTACAAATGGAACATAATTAAAGCATAGTGATTAATCACAAAAACAATATGTAATTATATCTGTGTTTTCCGATGGTCTTAGGCGACCCCTGTGAAAGGGTCGTTTGACCCCCAAAGGGGTTGCGACCCACAGGTTGAGAACCGCTGGTTTAGAGACACATCGATGCGAGAAACTTGGATTGGCTGCTTCCTGCACACCCCCTACCAGAGCGAGCCCCAAGCCCAGGCATGTGCCGACTGGGAATCGAACCGGCGAAGGGATGACACACCCAGCCATCAGAGCCACACCGGCCAGGGCTCCAAGTATCTTTTAAAGCCATAGAAACCTTGAAAATGAAACCTTCAGCTATAACCCATGTTTTAAAAACTGTCCTAATGAGATGGGTGTGGTGGTGGTGATGCTCCTTCTGGCAGATTTGAAGCCTCTTCTGAGGTAGGGTTCAAACCTGCTCCCCGGTGAGCAGACAGCACTGGGGGCTTTGTGCCTTGACTGACATCATCATCTGCCCTCATGGAGCCTCGGATACAAAGGCACAGGCCCCAGCAAACTGACGCGCTGGGATGTGAGCAGAAATTGGAGTTAACTAGCTCAGGACTGGTCCGTCCTCTGAGGAGGAACCAAACAGCTTCCTGGGCCCTGGAGGCAGCGCCACTCCCTCTGAGGAAAGGAGCCCATCAGAATTAGGAGGTAGCAAGGCCTGTTCCATAATGAGAATCTCTTCCCCTCCAGGCAAAAAATTTATATATCTCCCAGGTATATGGCAGTGTCATCTTTCATGACTCCTTGTCATCTGAGATATTCTGAGCTTTCCCACAACTAGAACTTGAAAATATTCTGATTTAGGCTCCATCAGCCGGCATCACCCACAGGGAGGCAACAGGAAGGGAGCCTGAATTCCTCAGCTCCTGCCAGTCAGTACCTGCCCCTCACGTCAGGCCTTGGTGAAGATCCACCGGGTTCCTGACAGCACTCTGGGTCCCTGTGGCTGGCACCACCTGGCCCAAATCGGGGAGATGGAAATCTGGGGTCCAGAAGGCCTTGCCTTCTCAGGGGCCTGGGTATTGTTAATAACACACTAAAAAGAAAATGGTCCCCCCCCTCCACACACACTGAAGATGTTTAATTTGCACACACTTTTGGCTTGTTCATGTTTTAAGGTGTATTTTTATTTACAAAGTGAGATGATGCATAACAAAGAGGAGATGCAGTTACAAACATATCTGCTCACTCCATTTTTCATGAAAAAGTATATAAATATATTACAGTAAATTCTATATAGTAAACATTAGACATTGATACAGTAAACATTTGCTACTTTTTCTATGTCAACACTACTGCCATTTAAAGCTTAAATACTGGTTTTAAGTATCCCCTATAAAATCACTACTTTATTAAAATACTGGGAAAGAACTTTTCTATAAACAAGATTGGTACATTAACAATAAGACTCAATGTATCCTTGTAAAAAGGTCCACCATAATCAAATGCTGCCTCAATGGTCCCTATGAGCTGCATTATCCAGTTAGTGTTAAAATTTTAAAAAATAATCATCATGGGTTAAAGCAGCTGTAAAAAATACAGCATTTCAACATTATTTACTGTTATGAAGAAAGCCTTTCTAAGGTGGAGGAGAACGAGCAACATGATATGGTGTGGACTTGCTGCCCTGCGGTCTCCGTTGTTAATGGATAACAGGAGCGTCTGCTGGGAGTTAAGGCGAGAACCGGAAAGGCACCCAGAAGGCTGCTCTTTTCGGGTCACTTCAGAGGCTGCGGCTGCTCTTTTTGTTCTTCTTCAGCTTGAAGACGTGTCAGGACATAAAGGATGACTTGGTAGCAGAAAATATATTGATCCTATGGGGGTGGGGAAAGAGAGAGACTTTAGATGCATACTGTGAATGTTTTATAAATATAGCTTCACCACTGTTGTAGTAGTTTTGAAAATACAGAAAATATTTAATGCGAGAAGAAGGATGTAGAATTGTGCAGTGTCATAAAAATGATGAGAAACAGAAGCCAGGTTGATGAAATGCGAAGGGAAGGGCCTTGTGGTGGGGGCAGGGATAGAAGTGTCCCTGAGTGCTAACGGAAGCTGTCTCTGGTGGGCGGACCACTTCCATTTCTTATGATTTGCTTTTATAATAAAAAAAAAAAAAGAAAAAAAGAAAAACTTCCTACAAAATTTCTTCTAGATTTACTGAATTCATCTTGATGTTTTGAAATGTCAAGAAACTAATACCAAGGAAGCTACACAAAATACTTTTCTTTAAATCAGTGGTTCTCAACCTTCCTAAGGCCGCAACCCAGAGTTCCTCATGTTGTGGTGACCCCCAATTTCATTGTTACAAATTGAACATAATTAAAGCATAGTGATTAATCACAAAAACAATATGTAATATATATGTGTTTTCCGATGGTCTTAGGCGACCCCTGTGAAAGTGTTGTTCGACCCCCAATGGAGTCGCGACCCACAGGTTGAGAACTGCTGCTTTAAATATTTGGAACAGAAGAATATGGAAATCAATGTTTTCTGAATATTAACATTTTTGGTGAAATTATTCTCTATTAAGGTGATGGTGCAGGGGTTTGAGTTTTCTTATTTGATAAGGAATTAATGTGTCTGAAAGTAAGCTGAACAATTCACAATATACTAAATGGAAAGAATCTACACTAATAAAAGACAAAGATGCTAATTGACTGTACTTTTGCTACGCCAACCAGCCAATCAGAAGAGTATGCAAATTAACCCAACAAAGATGGCTGTTAAATTTGCATACTGCAGGGGGGGCGGGTAGTGCCAGACGCCGCCCGTGGGATCCAGGCCACAGATCGGGGACTGGGGAGGCGGGGCGGGCAGCACCAGAAGCCACCTATGGAGGTGGAGCCGGCGATTGCCCCGGCCAGAAGCCTGAGGCCTGGCAGGGGCGGAGCAGGCCATTGGAGCAGGCTGGGGGTCCCCTGTCTAGGCCTAATGCTCTGGCCAGAGGCCTGAGGGCTGGGCAGGGGTATAGCTGGCGATCGCCCGGGGATGGGGGTCCCCTGCCCAGGCCTAATGCCCCGGCCAGAAGCCTGAGGCCCGGGCAGGGGTTGAGCCAGGGATCGGTGTGAACTACAGAGGAAACACTTTTTCTGACCGATCATTGGCTAAGCTCCCTGTATGTCACTGGTAATATTCTTAGTAACTTGGGTAATAAGAATCCAGTAAGGTGATCTAGGGTTTCTTACCACACTCCTAGAGAAAAACAAACGAAGGTCTGCTGCTGGAGGGGCTAAGAAATATCATATCCTGCCCTAGCTGGTTTGGTTCAGTAGATAATGCCTCGGCCTGCCTACCACAGGGTCTGGGTTCAATTATGACCAAGGGCATGTACCTAGGTTGCAGGCTCTTCCCTGACTGGGGCCCAGGTCAGCGCTCATGCAGGAGGCAGCCAATCAAAGTGTTCCTCTCACTTTGATGTTTCTCTCTGTCTTTCCCTTTCTCTTTCACATTCTCTAAAAATCAATGGAAACATATCCTCAGGTGAGGATAAAAAAAATTAATAAAGAAATGTCATATCCTATGAAAGACACATCTTGAAAATGCCTAAAGAAAGTTGTCATTTTTTCATGGTGAAGGGACTGGAGTCCGTGTTGATGAAAACACCTTGGTGGCTGCGGTGACTGGCAGTGGCTGCAGCAGCGGGGTGATGGGGCTGGTGCCTTCCCCTGACCAGCCCGGTCGCCTCCCACAAAGGGAGGCCAGACTGTGGCTTAGGCCCGCTCCCCAAGGGGAGCAGAGAGCAGGCCTAAGCCGTCAGTAGGACATCCCCTGAGGGTTCCCAGTATGTGAAAGGGGGCAGGTTGGGCCGAGGGACACCCTCCCCCCCGCCCCACTGCACGAATTTCGTGCACCGGGCCCCTAGTAAAACAATAAACATAGCGGAGTCACAGTGAAAACAGTTGTGTGTGTGAGTATGCACACCTGTGACTGAAGAATATAAAACATTAACAACTCTGAAGAGTAGGAATAAAGGTAAACCTTTTATTTACTTTTTGCTCATCTGTCTTTTAACTTGCCTACATTTTCCACACATTCATCTTAATCTTCTCTCACACACCAAACAATCCATTAGCAAACCCACTTCTCTTTTTTTAAAAAAAACATTTTTTTATTGATTTTTTAGAGAGAGAGGAAGGGGGGGGGGAGAGAGAGAGAGAGAGAGAGAGAGAGAGAGAGAGAGAGAGAGAGAGAATATGAATCATCGATTGAGTGCCTTTTGCATACCCCCTACCAGGGATCAAACCTTCAACTCGGGTATGTGCCCTGACTGGGAATTGAACTGGCAACCTTTTGGTGCATGAGATGATGCCCAAAAAACTGATCCACACTGGCCAGAGTAGCAAACCCACTTCTCTTCTCCTTATATCCACACCCACTATTCTGTCAGCGCCATCACTGCTTGCCACCTACCTGACCTTCCTGTTTCAAACCTTGCATCCTCCTCCCCAAATTGGGTCTTGTTTTAACACAGCAGCCAGAGTGATCCTTTAAAATGTGAGTCAGATCGTGTCACTCCGTACTGACAACACTGCTATGGCTCCATTTCACTCACAGCAAAGCCTAAGCCAGTGATGGCGAACCTTTTGAGCTCGGCGTGTCAGCATTTTGAAAAACCCTAACTTAACTCTGGTGCCGTGTCACATATAGAAATTCGTTTATATTTGCAACCATAGTAAAACAAAGACTTATATTTTTTATATTTATTTTATATATTTAAATGCCATTTAACAAAGAAAAATCAACCAAAAAAATGAGTTTGCGTGTCACCTCTGAAACGCGTGTCATAGGTTGGCCATCACTGGCCTAACCCCTGGCTCTGTCATCTCCCCTCTCGCCCGCCCCTCCTCCCTCCACCTCAGCCACTGGCCGAGACCGTCCTTAAACACACAAGACCCACTCCCACCTTGGACTTCCGTGCAGCTGGTTGTCTGCCGGAAACATGACCCCTACTCCTTCACCTTCTCCAAATCTTTGCTCGAGTGTTATCCTCGGTGGTGCCACCCATTTAAAATAGCACCTCGGAGAAACCAAGATGGCGGCATAGGTTAACGCCGGAGATCGCTGCCTCAAACAACCACTTCAGAGATATAACTAAAGGACAGAACGGACATCACCCAGAACCACGGGAAGGCTGGCTGAGTGGAAATTCTACAACTAGGAGGAAAGAGAATATCATACCCAGACTCAGAGGAGGCACAGTGCTGAAGTGAAATACTCCGGTGCGGAAGTGCGCGCGCGAGGAGCGGGCTGGCTGCGGAGGGCGCGGTTGTTGTTTTCAATCGGGAGGGAGTTTCAGACTCTGAGCTCCAGATCCGGGCGAGTCTCTGGGGACCGAGACTCAAACGGGAGAAACGGGACTGTCTGGCTTCGGTCGGAACTCGAAGGCAGCTTTCTCTCCGAGGTTTGCAGCCATTGCTGGGGCTCTGAGAGGCAGAGCCCCTGGGGAAGGAACTGAGAGTCGCCATAACTGCTTGTTCCGCCCGCCCTGTAGATCCCCGGGGACCCGCCCCGCCCAAGCCCTGCGCAGCGCCATTTGCCGGATAGCCTCAGGCAAAGGCTAGATTAGCACTGCCCTAGAGATCCAGCACAGAAGCCCTCCCACTACAGACACAGCAGACTCTCATAACCAGTTAGCCTGGAGGTCAAATCACCCCGGTATTGCCGACATCAATCAAGGCTTAAAGGCAACAAGACTGTGGACAAAGACCACTAGGGGGTGCACCAAGAAAGCATAAAAAATGCGGAGACAAAGAAACAGGACAAAACTGTCAATGGAGGATATTGAGTTCAGAACCACACTTTTAAGGTCTCTTAAGAACTGTCTAGAAGCTGCCGATAAATTTAGTAAGGCCCTCGAAAAGACTGGTGAGACCGCCGATAAATGTAGTGAGATCCTCAAGAAATCTAATGAGACCCTCGATGTTGTGATAAAGAACCAACTAGAAATTAAGCATACACTGACTGAAATAAAGAATATTATACAGACACCCAACAGCAGACCAGAGGAGCGCAAGAATCAAGTCAAAGATTCGAAATGCGAAGAAGCAAAAAACACCCAACTGGAAAAGCAAAATGAAAAAAGAATCCGAAAATATGAAGATAGTGTAAGGAGCCTCTGGGACAGCTTCAAGCGCACCAACATCAGAATTATAGGGGTGCCAGAGGATGAGAGAGAGCAAGATATTGAAAACCTATTTAAAGAAATAATGACAGAAAACTTCCCCCACCTGGTGAAAGAAATAGACCTACAGGTCCAGGAAGCGCAGAGAACCCCAAACAAAAGGAATCCAAAGAGGACCACACCAAGACACATCATAATTAAAATGCCAAGAGCAAAAGACAAAGAGAGAATCTTAAAAGCAGCAAGAGAAAGAAACCCAGTTACCTACAAGGGAATACCCATATGACTGTCAGCTGATTTCTCAACAGAAACTTTGCAGGCCAGAAGGGAATGGCAAGAAATATTCAAAGTGATGAATACCAAGAACCTACAACCAAGATTACTTTATCCAGCAAAGCTATCATTCAGAACAGAAGGTCAGATAAAGAGCTTCACAGATAAGGAAAAGCTAAAGGAGTTCATCACCACCAAACCAGTATTATATGAAATGCTGAAAGGTATCCTTTGAGAAGAGGAAGAAGAAAAAAAAAGGTAAAGATACAAATTATGAACAACAAATATGCATCTATCAACAAGTGAATCTAAGAATCAAGTGAATAAATAATCTGATGAACAGAATGAACTGGTGATTATAATAGAATCAGGGACATAGAAAGGGAATGGACTGGCCATTCTTGGGGGAGGAAAGGGGTGTGGGAGATGCGGGAAGAGACTGGACAAAAATCGTGCACCTATGGATGAGGACAGTGGATGGGGAGTGAGGGCGGAGGGTGGGGCGGGAGCTGGGAGGAGGGGAGTTATGGGGGGAAAACAAAGAGGAACAAATGTAATAATCTGAACAATAAATATTTAATTAAAAAAAAAATAAAATAGCACCTCAACACGCCACCACTCTCTACCCCACTCTACCTGTTTCCCTCTAAAGCACCTATCACTTCAAAATTTACTTATTTAATGTGTCTACATCTGCCTTCCTCACCACCCTCCCACTAACAGTGGTTCTCAACCTTCCTAATGCCGCGACCCTTTAATACAGTTCCTCATGTTGTGGTGACCCCCAACCATAAAATTGTTTTCATTGCTACTTCATAACTGTAATTTTGCTACTGTTATGAATCATAATGTAAATATCTGATATGCAGGATATATTTTCAGGGGTTGCGACCCACAGGTTGAGAACTGCTGCTAGAAGGTCTCTGTTATTCCAGCAGGGTCTTCGTTTTATTCACTGATGTGCTCCAGGCACCTAGAGGAGTGTGGGTACACAGGAGGCACAAATCGACATCTGCCAAACCAGTGAACTTCCTGGGTCTAAAGACCTGCTTATACAGGTCAACACCTAAAAACTGTGACTGTGAAGGAGCTTAATATTTACCTTTAATTTGAATTAAAAGGTATATAAAAGAAAAGTAGGCAAATTCTAATTTTAAAGATAGTAAACTTCTGTATACTTAAAGAGGTAGAGAGATGTGAATTCACAGATACATGAAAATAGCTTCCACATCCCTCCCCCCAACACAAACAAAAAGGAGAGTGGAGGTACTCAGAGCAGACACTCTATGCCAGCGATTCTCAACCTGTGGGTTGCGACCCCTTTGGGGGTTGAACGACCCTTTCACAGGGGTCGCCTAAGACCATCGGAAAACACATATATAATTACATATTGTTTTTGTGATTAATCACTATGCTTTAATTATGTTCAATTTGTAACAATGAAAATACATCCTGCGTATCAGATATTTACATTACGATTCATAACAGTAGCAAAATTCCAGTTATGAAGTAGCAATGAAAATAATTTTATGGTTGGGGGTCACCACAACATGAGGAGCTGTATTAAAGGGTCGCAGCATTAGGAAGGTTGAGAACCACTGCTCTAAGCAATGCCGTCCCTCTGAAGGTCAGTGGGTGAGAAACTGGTCTGATTTTAGGTGAGTGAAATGAAAATGCTCTAAAGAGAGGACAGATAGACCCGCCCACTCACTGTCCTGAAGAGTGCCTCATCCAAGGTAAGCAACCCAGCCCGTCTTCCTGCCTTTTAGTGGATGCGGCTGAATCAATTCCCTCTGGGGGAATTTCTGCAGCAAGAATGTTGCCTTCTATCTTTTTGGTTGGATATGGGGAAGGAATGGCACTATGAGCTATTTTGTACGCCCCCTGCCTACCCTCCCCTCCTCCCCCGCCGCATGTCTGCCCCTAACATGTCACCCATGCTCTGTAATCTATTCAGGGCAGATATTGCATTTCTTCATTTTTAAAATTAAAAGGCAATATTTGAAAAAAGATAGCCTAGAAATATCTTCTTTTTAAAAAAAAATATATTTTATTGATTTTTTTACAGAGAGGAAGGGAGAGGGATAGAGAGTTAGAAACATCAATGAGAGAGAAACATCGATCAGCTGCCTCCTGCACACCCCCTACTGGGGATGTGCCCGCAACCAAGGTAAATGGCCTTGACTGGAATCGAACCTGGGACCCTTCAGTCCGCAGGCCGACGCTCTATCCACTGAGCCAAACCGGTTAGGGCTATCTTCTTTTTTTAAAAAAATATTTTTATTGATTTCAGAGAGGAAGGGAGAGGGAGATAGAAACATCAATAATGAGAGAGAATCATTGATCAGCTGCCTCCTGCACGCTCCTCACTGGGGATCAAACCCACAACCTAGGCATGGGCCCTGACTGGAATTGAACCATCACCTCCTGGTTCATAGGTCAACGCTCAACCACAGACCTATGCTGATTGGGCTTCTTTTTCTTTATTTCCCTGAATTAGTCCTCATGCTTCATTTATTTATTTTTTTAAGTCCCTCATTACCATAAATCTTTGAATTTATACAATAATGTGGGAACCCTCAAAAGAAAAATGATTTATCTAGAACTTTTGAAATATCAGAATCTTCATGCAAATCCTTATTAGAAGACATCAAGACTCACCTCTGTCTGAACCATCCCATGTCTTTGTAGTCTCATGCAGCGCACTAAATCAGAGATGTCAAACTGCCCAAAACAAACAAAGCAGAGTCTATGTTAGGTAAAAAGCATAGCCCAATTTGAACGCCAAAGATTCACAGAGTCAACTGGCTTATACATATTTCTGTACCCCATTCTCCTTCTCCTTCTAGCAGTCCAAACTATTATGGACAAAATAACTTGGTGAACTGACTTTGCCATCATTTCATAATTTTAAGAATTAAGAAAGGTTATTGTATTTGAAAATCCACAAAATAAATTCTTGTCCTTCTAAAATCTGACTAATTTCTAATAAAAAAAAAAGAAAGAAAAGGAAAACTAAAGTTCTTATGTTTTCCTTCTCAGAATAAAATTCCTGATCTTTTCATTTTCACTGATATTTAAATTTGAAACAAGGGGGAAGTAGACTATTTTGTTTTGGCCCACTTAAATTATTATGGTTAGATATAATAGAGTGTGAAGTGCAAGATAGAACTGCTTTTAACTAAAAAATTTTAAAGACAAATATTGTAATTACATATTGTATATGTTCAATATTCTAACATTTTAAGTGATGTTTACACTAATTTAGATATTAAGTAATATTACACTCATTAACTTTATTTATTTCATAATAATTTTTAAATTGGGAGTAATTGTTTAGAGATAGACTATTTAACATTAATTTGTTTAACAAAATATACATTTCCCACCAATAGGTAACAATAACAACAACAAAAGTGTATAAGCCTGTTCATTTCAAAATATACTTTCTTTTGTGCTTTAATATTTCTATCCCTAAAAGCATGATAACAATATTGACTTTATTTTATATAAGCCTAAAAACATAAAAAGTGAAATGCATAAGGGGCTTTTGAGCACATGGCTAAAAAAACAACAACAGTAAAACAAATATAAAGTTGAAGTATTATTTCTTTTTCATTATGGTCCATGCAGTTTTGAACATTTACAAAAAACAATTCTGCATAGTAAGAAAATTAAGGCATTCATATAAACTGATAAAAAAAAAATTCCAAGATCCTAACACATTAAAAAGTTAGATTCCAGAGAATTATATGGAACTTAATGAGAACTACACCAGCATGAAAAAAGAGGTAGAAACCATGAATAAGAATCAAGCAGAAAGGAAGAATGACATAGCTGCAATAAAGAATATCCTAGCCAATTTGGCTCAGGGGTTAGAGCATCGGCCCGCAGACTGAAGGGTCTCGGGTTCAATTCAAGTCAAGGATACGTAACTCAGTTGTAGGCTCGATCCCGTTCTGGTTGGGGTGTGTGCAGAAGCAATCAATCGATGTGTCTCTCTCACATTGATGTTTCTTTCTCTCTCTCTCTCTCTCTCTCTCTCTCTCTCTCTCTCTCTCTCTCCCCCCCACCCCTCCTTTCCACTCTCTCTAAAAATCAATAGAAAAAATATCCTCCAGGGTATCCTTTAAAAAAATAAAAATACCCGGGAAGGAATCATAGTAGATTACAGGAAGCAGAGGACCAAATCAGGGAATTTAGAAGATAGAATGGGTAGAAAAAACACCCATTCAGAGCTACAATGAGAAAAAGAAATTAAAAAGCAGGAGTAGAGTTTAAGGGAGCTTTGACACAACATGAAACATAACAACATGTGCATCACAGGAGTACCAGAAGGAGAAGAACCTTAGTAAGGAATAGAGAACCTGTTTAAAGAACTAATGACAAAATATCCCTAACCTGACTAAGGAAAAAGCCACTCAGGTTCAGGAAACACAGAGAGTCCCAATCAAGATGAACCCCAAAAGACCCACACCTAGACACATCATAATTAAAATGGCAAACGTTAAGGACAAAGAAAGAATCTTAAAGGCTGCAAGGGAGAGACAGAAAGTTAACCTACAAGGGAGCTCCCATTAGACTGTCAGCTGATTTATCGGTAGAAACACTTCAGGCCAGAAGGGACTGGAATGAAGTATACAAAGTAATGAAAAGCAAGGGACTGAATCCAAGACTACTCTATCCAATGAGGCTATCATTCAAAATTGAAGGTAAAATAAATAGCTTCGCAGACAAAAAAAACCTAAAAGAATTTATCACCACTAAATAGCACTGCAAGAAATGCTAAAGGGACTGTTGTAAGATGAAGAAGAAGTAAAGAGAAAGAGAGGAACATAGGCATAAATAATAAAAATGGCAACAAATAAATACCTATCAATAATAACCTTAAATGTAAATGGATTAAATGCTCCAATCAAAAGACATAGGGTAGCTGGATAAGAAAACATGATAAGAAAACATGACTCACCTCAGAACAAAAGACTCACACAGGATGAAAGTGAAGGGATGGGAAAAATTTTCCATGCAAACGGCAATGAAAAATATATCTGGGGTAGCAATACTCATATCTGACAAAATAGACTTCAAAGTTAAGGCCATAACAAGAGACAATGAAGGCCACTTCATAATAATAAACAGATTAATACAACAAGAAGCTATAACCCTGTAAATATATATGCACCCAATATAGGAGCATATATATATATATATATATATATATATATATATATATATATGAAAACTTCTGGAGGATTTTAACACATTGCGTACCACATTGAAATCTCTAAGACATACGCCAGGGACTGCACGTTTTTGGGCAAACTGCACGTTATTTAAATCATCATAATGCACTTTAGGTGTTGTTTTTCAATAATTATAACATTTTTATTTACAAAAACAATTAAACAATTAAAGTTTCTAGTACTTTTTTAACGTATAGTACTGCGTAAAACATTTTCCTCTATGAAGAAGGACCAAACAAAATTTACATAAGTATCGAGATTCGCTCCTTTTTTCCATGGGTGTGAAAAACAAGAACACTCGTGAGCGGTCCTTAACAGATGGCGCGCGAAACACGAGAAAACTCCTGAACGGTACGAAATGTGTTAAGAGAGAGATAAATAGCAGTGCACTCATAGTAGGGGACTTATTAATACCCTACTGACATGAATGGATAGATCTTATAGACAAAATAATTAACAAGAAAACAGAGACCCTAAATAACACTCTAGATCAAATACATTTAATTGACATTTGCAGAACATTTCACCCCAAAGTTGCTGAATATACATTCTTCTCAAGTGCACATGGGACATTCTCAAAGATAGACAACATGTTAGGACACCAACTAAGTCTCTACAAATTGAAGAAGATTGAAATCATATCAAGCATCATCTCGGATTACAAGGGCATGAAACTAGAACTCAATTACTGGTGCAGCCACTGTGGAAAACAGTGTGAAGATTCCTCAAAAAATTAAAAATGAAACTGCCACTTGACCCAGTGATCCCACTTCTAGGAATATATCTGAAGAAGCCTGAAACACCAATCAGAAAAAATATATGCACCCCTATGTTTATAGCAGTGTTATTTACAATAGCTAAGATCTGGTAACAGACCAAGTGCCCATCAGTTGATGAATGAACAAAAAATCTGTGGTCCATCAAAAAACTATTAGGCTTAATAAATGAATTTGGCAATGTAGCAGGATACAAAATTAACGCCAAGAAGTCTATGGCATTTCTATACACCAATAGTGAACTTATAGAAAGAGAGACTAAAAAAGCAATTCCATTTACCATCACACCAAAAAAACTTAAGATACCTAGGAATAAACTTAACTAAAGCGGTAAAAGACCTCTACTCAGAAAACTACAGGACGTTGAAAAAAGAGATAGAGGAAGACATAAACAGATGGAAGAACATACCACGTTCATGGATTGGTAGAATCAACATCATTAAAATGTCCATACTACCCAAAGCAATCTATAAATTCAATGCACTCCTCATTAAAATACCAACAGCATATTTCACAGACCTAGAACGAACTCTCCAAAAATTCATCTGGAATAAAAAAGACCCCAAATAGCTGCAACGATCCTGAGAAAGAAGAACAAAGTAGGTGGGATCTCAATACCAGATATCAAGCTGTATTACAAAGCCACTGTTCTCAAAACTGCCTGGTACTGGCACAAGAACAGACATATAGATCAATGGAATAGAGAACCCCAAAATCGACCTGAACCAATATGCTCAATTAATATTTGACAAAGGAGGCAAGAACATACAATGGAGTCAAGACAGTCTTTTCAATAAATGGTGTTGGGAAAATTGGATAGATACATGCAAAAAAATGAAACCAGACCACCAACTTACACCATACACAAAAATAAACTCAAAATGGATAAAAGACTTAAATGTAAGACAGGAAACCATAAAAATACTAGAGGAATTCAAAGGCAACAAAATCTCAGACATATGATGAAGCAATTTCTTCACCATTACAGTTCCTAGGGCATTGGAAACTAAAGAGAAAATAAACAAATGGGATTACATCAAAATAAAAAGCTTCTGCACAGCAAAAGAAACCATCAACAAAACAACAAGAAAGCCCACTGCATGGGAGAACATTTTCCAATGTTACACCGATAAGGGTTTAATCTCCAACCTTTATAGGGAACTCATGCAACTTAACAAAAGGAAGATAAACAATCCAATCAAAAATGGGCGAAGGACCTAAATAGACACTTTGCAAAAGAGGACATTCAGAAAGCTAAGAGACATATGAAAACATGCTCAAAGTCACTAATCATCTGAGAGATGCAAATCAAAACAACAATGAGGTACCATCTCACACCTGTCAGACTGGTTATCATCAACAAATCAACAAACAACAAGTGCTGGAGAGGATGCGGAGAAAAAGGAACACTCGTGCACTACTGGTGGGAATGCAGACTGGTGCAGCCACTATGGAAGACAGTACAGAGTTTCCTCAAAAAGTTAAAAATGGAACTCCCATTTGACCCAGTGATCCCACTCCTAGGAATATATCCCAAGAAACCAGAAACACCAATCAGAAAGGATATATGCATCCCTATGTTCATAGCAGCACAATTTACCATAGCTAAGATTTGGAAACAGCCTACGTGCCCATCAGCAGATGAATGGATTAGAAAACTGTGGTACATCTACACAATGGAATACTATGCTGCTGTAAAAAAGAAGGAATTCTTACCATTTGCAACAGCATAGATGGAAATGGAGAGCATATGCTAAGTGAAGTAAGCCATCAATGAAGGAAAAATACCACATGATCTCACTCATTTATGGATAATAAAGATCATTATAAACTGATGAACAAAAATAGATACAGAGGCAGAACAGCATCAAACAGACTGTCAAACTATAGCGGGAAGGCCGGGGAGGGTGGGGGAGGGGGTTAAGAGATCAACCGAAGGACTTGTATGCATGCATATAAGCATAACCAATAGACACAAGACACTGGGGGGTAGGGGAGGCTGGGAGAAGGTCAAGGGGGGGAAAAAAGGAGACATATGTAATACCCTTTGTAATACTTTAAGCAATAAAACAAAATTAAAAAAAAAGAAAAAAGAAAAAAATCTGTGGTACATTTACACTATGGAATACTATGTAGCTGTAAAAAAGAAGGATCTCTTAACCTTGGAGACAGCATGGAAGAACCTGGAGAGTATCATGCTAAGCGAAATAAGCCAGTCAGGGAAAGATAAGTATCACATGATCTCATTCATATGTGGAATCTAATGAACAAAATACACTGATGGACAAAATAGATCCAGAGACATTGAAGCATGGAACAGACTGACGTATGCCAGAGGGAGGGGTGGGAGATGGGAAGAGATTAACCAATGAACTTATATGCTATATATGCTTAGCCACGGACAGATAATAGTTAGCGGAAGGCCTGGGGAGGGAAAGGGAGCAGGGTAGAGGGGGGTCAATGGCGGGGGGGAAAAGGGGATATCTGTAATACTTTCAATAATAAAGATAAATAAAAAAATAAAAAGTTAGATTCCACCGTTATTTCTGGTCGAATGCTCACTCAGCCTATCCTTGTCCTCACCTCAAGATCTTGACTGATTAAGCCTAGCACCACATCTATGCATATCAGAGTCCCTGAACGTCCGATGCCAGCGCTGCAGTGGGTGATGATTGGGCCTGATCTGTGAACGTGTCTCATATAAGAGATGAAAGTGAGCAAGTCGTCTGGCTGAGAAGGTGTATCATGGTCCGGCCAGGCAGTGAAATTCAGATGGGAAATATGTCGCACCTCTCGTGTCTGAAATTACAATAGAATAGGAATGTAAAGGCATGCTATATTGTTCACATGTAGTTACTTCTTAATATTATTTTATCCTTTCAAAATTAGCTTTTCCATCAGATGAAATCAAAGGAAAATGAGGGACAAAAAAACCTCCATCAAACAAACACATGGAGGGCCTTTATCAAGGAGGACGCTAGATCCACATTTTAAATATTGGTAAAAACTGCTTTTTGGAAGTCCTAAATGAAAATATGTTTTGATAACAACTTTTTTTTTAATGGCCCCATTTCAAACTCACCCCGGATAAAAGCCAGTCATTGCACTGGCTAAAAAACCCTATGTAATTTGGCCCAGCTACCTCTCAGACCTAACCGTTTCCTCCTGGCCATCTTGCTCCAGCCACCGGGATCTCTCTGTGGTTCTTTAAAAACACTAGGCACAATTCAGTCTCAGGGCCTTTGCACTCCCTCTTCCTGACTGAAATGCCCCCCGCCATGTCCACGTGGCTCATTCAACACCTGCGCGGTTTTTTCCACAGCACCAGTATTCTCTCATTAGAGGGTAAGCTCCATGAAGTCACAGTTTCTTTTTTGTCTGTGCTCATTGCTGAACCCCTTAATTCCATAACAGGGCCTGAAATCTGTAAACATGTGTTGGTTAAATAAATCTTTAATTTTTTAAATTTAATTTAATTAAATAAATATTTAATTAAATATTTAAGAAATAGTGAACAATGGTGCTTGCATAGGTAATGTAAGCTGGTGTAAATGAATAAGGAGGTATAGACTTTAATTCTTTATAAAATCAGAAATAAAAAATCACAAAGGAAATTCTCAGGCTACATTTACATGCTGCCCCAGAACTGAGTGAATATGCTCGTATGCGTTGTTTCTGTGAAAGTAAAACTACTTTCTTTAAGAGAGCTAAAACGCCAATCGGAAACACATTACTCACTCCTAACTAGTATTCCTGGGGGGAGGAGTGAAATAAAGCGTGGAGATGAAGAAACAGTAGCTTTACGTAAGGTCTACCCATTGTCTAATTCAAGCTAAATTTATTCAGTGGTTAGGTGGCCACAGTAGGAATTACTGGAATGACAAACATATATGCTACAATTGTCCATGTACTACCCAAGACGTCTTTATGGAGGAATATCTGCTACTTAAAGGTTTTTAAAAAACAGTTTTATTGAGTCTACTTAAAGGTTTGATTTTTAAAAAATGAGTCTCCAGTGCACAGCTTCTGAGCCATTCTGTGCTATCACTAAGCAAAGATGGATGATCACATTAAAAGCCCAGTATTCTCATTTTCATTTTATTTTATTTTATTTTTTTAAAAATATATTTTATTGATTTTTTACAGAGAGGAAGAGAGAGAGATAGAGAGTTAGAAACATCGATGAGAGAGAAACATCGATCAGCTGCCTCCTGCACATCTCCTACTGGGGATGTGCCTGCAACCCAGGTACATGCCCCCGACCGGAATCGAACCTGAGACCTTTCAGTCCGCAGGCCGACGCTCTATCCACTGAGCTAAACCGGTTTCGGCCTCATTTTCATTTTAATACAGTATGTACTGGAGGAAACTGGAAGAATTCAAGAAGAGGTCACATTTAAACTTATATCAGATAAAAAATAATAGGTGGCATTAGTTCCATTGAAATGGGAACCAAGAAATCACTGTCTTTTTTTTTTTTTTTTGAAAAATACATTGATACGATCATGGAAAGGGTCCAGGCCTGCATTCCAACCAGGAGATAAGCCTTAGAAAATGGAAAGATTTATTTTCCTCACCTGAATATCTTCTAGGGTCATTGCTCTTACTACAAAGCCCTTCAGCGGCTGCATTTTCACCAGCGCCAGCCGGAGCCTGTTGCTGACCATTGTCGTTTTGCCGAGGATGTTAGGCCAGTAGCGCTGGCATTTGACTTTTTCCCCTTCTACCTCTTGGGTCATCATGGCTATCACTGTGGACTTTTGTTCCCAAATCATCTGCCAGAAATCGCCAACGGTTGTAGGGAGAGGCCCTTGGCAGGCAATGTAAACGAACTCTTCCTTCCCCACTGGTATCTTAATGAAGCTGGCGTTGATATATCCACCTTCATCTCCGAGAGGCACTCTTGTAGCATCATCTGTGAATTTACCACCACAAGACAGAGCCATCTATCTCATGCATTTTTAAACAAGAGCTTTATAAACAGGGTGAGTCAAAGATGATGACAAATTCCTCATAACCATAGACAAAATCACAAACATCTCAATACAGGTATATTTTCAAATTGTAGGATAAATTATTTTATATTTACTCAAACATTTATGCTACAATTGTCCATGTATGTTACAAGTTGCCATCTTAATGTGCAACATGATATTATTTACATAGATCTGGCTGAAGATATTAAAATTAATAAATTAATGAATGCATTTAGAAGTTCTTAACTAACTAGAGAATCAAATACAACTTTGGTACTTCTTTTCCATCCTTATTTTTAATGATGACAATAATAATGAATTTAATAATGAAGGACAATGCTGAAAAATTATCTCATAAGACAAAAATTAGTATCACTGTGAAACTATTAAAGTACTTATTACAAATATAGGGTGTCCCAAAAACATGTATACAAACTTCAAAGGCTGATAGCTCAGTTGACGTTTCTTTCTTTTCAGCCAGAGTAAGCTCTGAACAAAGGAAATGCATCCTAAAATGCTACTGGAAGTTTGAAAACACAGTTGAAGTACAAACACTGCCTTTATAATTTATTCAAAGTGTGTATATACTTCTTTGGGGACACAGAGTGTTCCCCAACAATGTATACACACTTTAAGAGCTGATAACTCACTTAATTTTCACTCCTTTTCAGGTTAAACTGATTTGAAATAATAGGTGAAGCCTGATTAAGCTATGAACAAAGACATTTTATCCATTAGACTTTTTAATGGTGATATATAAAAGATAAAGTTTATGGTACAAAACCGGCAATAGTTGACGGATTGGGATGCACAAATACAGAACGAATTGATTCTTGGTGTTTGCAATTCCACTGCTTCGCATTATCAGCAGTGCCTGGACCCCAGTGGTCATCAGTTTGAAAACAGGCATTGTAAAAAAAAAAAAATTCATTTCTGTAGATTCTTTTACATTTTGAAAATGAACTGAATGTTAATAAACACTGATTTTGTAATCATTCAAAGTATGTATACATTTTCTGGGACACCTATATAATTGGCAAAATTAACTCTTGCTCATGTAATTAAGCTATATTCTTTTAAATAAGCAGCCAAAATAATAAACACAATAAAAAGGGAGCTCACTTTATTCTCTAGGCATACAGACTCTTGTCTTTGTCTGACTGTAATTTCATATAGTCAAAATATAAACTTTCAAAACAGGCTGCCCCAGTGAAAAGTATATATAAGCTGTCTTATCCAAGATAATTAATTTGTATGTATTTATACATTAGAAGTTATTTCTACTTCAAATATTTATAAACTTAACTGGTAATTTCTGTGACTCCCAAATTATGACTCTTAGTAATGGGTTTCAAAACCCTCCATTGATTGCCCTTCTATTCCTTGACTTGTAACTCTTAGTCCTAGAAACAAACCCACTCAGCAGTTCTGAGCTCATGACTTATCCCACTCTGACTCTGAGATAATAGCCATTTTCTTTCTCACTCTCTCTTTTTTTTGCCTGAAATAATTCCCATATACTTTATGCCAAACCATATCTATTCCATTTTAAAGTGCTAAGATTCACTTCTTTTTTTTAAAAAAATATTTTTATTGATTTCAGAGAGGAAGGAAGAGGGAGAGAGAGATAGAAACATCAATGATGAGAATCATTGATTGGCTGCCACCTGCATGCCCTCTACTGGGGATTGAGCATGCAACCTGGGCATGTCCCCTTGACCAGAATGGAATCAGAACCCTTCAGTCCTCAGGCCAGTACTCTATTCACTGAGCCAAACCAGCTAGGGCCTAAGATTCACTTCTTAAAAGAAATTTCCCAAAATGAATTTTGTATTCTCCATCTTGATAGAAAAAATGCAATTGTATTATTATTTATTGTATGATTTGTCATTATTAGTTCAGTTATTTCTCCTTGGATTTATGGCAAAGATAGGGTCAGTGTGTCATATGGTATAATCCTGTGGTCGGCAAACTGCAGCTCGCGAGCCACATGCAGCAATTTGGCCCCTTGACTGTGGCTCTTCCTAAGCCTTAGAAGTACCCTAATTAAGTTAATAACAATGTACCTACCTATATAGTTTAAGTTTAAAAAATTTGGCTCTCAAAAGAAATTTCAATTGTTGTACTGTTGATATTTGGCTCTGTTGACTAATGAATTTGCCGACCACTGGTATAATCCATTGTGCTAATATATATACAAATATGGCTGATACTTTTTATAAGAAATTGCTAGACATTAATATTTTGGCTACCTACATATATTTATATATAATTTTTTAAAAATCAAATGTTTGATAATGAGTCAAACATGGGTAAAAACATTTTTTTTTTCCTTCTGGTACATGAAATAATGCAACCTGGTGGTACCACTCTGTCACATGCATATACTAGTATATAGCTATTATGTACCACAGACATTTCTCTAAACTTATAAGTGGGATAAAGAGATGTTGATTGTGACATATGAACTAAGAAATTGTTCAACCCAAAGACAATTGATACTGTTAAAAAGACTTAAAAATACTGATTTAGCATCACTGATTATTTTCTAACTAGAGGCTCAGTGCACAAAATTCGTGCACGGGGGGGGGGGGGGTGTCCCCTCAGCCCAGCTTGCACCCTCTCCGGGACTCCTCAGAGGATGTCTGACTGCCGGTTTAGGCCTGATCCCTGGGATCAGGCCTAAACCGGCAGTCAGACATCCCTCTCACAATCCTGGACCACTGGCTCCTAACCGCTCACCAGCCTGGTAGCCCCTAACTGCACCCTCCCCCCCACCCGCTGGCCTGATCACCCCTCACTGCCTCTGTGTGCCAGCCTGATTGCCCCTAACTGCCCTCCCCCCTTGCAGGCCTGGTTGCCCCCAACTGGCCCTTCCCTGCTGGCCTGGTTGCTCCTAACTTCCCCCTCCTCCGCAGGCCTGGTCACCTCTTACTGCCCCCCGCTGCTGGCCTGGTCACCCCCAACTGTCCCCCTGCCAGCCTGGTTGCCTCTTACAACACCCCCTGCTGGCCTGGTTGCCCACAACTGCCCCCCCCCCCCGCCAGCCTGGTCACCCCTCATGGCCCCCCCACCAACCTGGTCACCCCACGCAGCCTGCTGTTCAGTCGTTTGGTAGTCCCTCACTAACCCCCTGTCGGCCTGATCACCCCATGCAGCCTGCTGTTTAGTCGTTTGGTTGTCACTCACTAACCCCCTTGCCGGCCTGGTCGTAGGCAGCCATCTTGTGAGGGTGTGATGGTCAATTTGCATACCACCCCTTTATTATATAGGATACAATGCTAGTAATTCATGAGTGTCTGAAGAATTATTTAATATTTCTCTAATTGATTTTCAGAATACATAGATAATTTTAAAAGGAATTCACACTGTATACCTAAATTTTTTGTTACTAATATAAATCTTTGTGCACTTAAGTAAGAGATAGATAGGCTAGTATGAAGGCAAATTAGAACTTACAGGGAAGTATATTTTTATATCGGTTCTTCCTTCTGTTTTCCTTAGTTTGTCCAATTAGACACTGATCCAAAGGTTTTAATTCTTGAAGATTCTGAAGGCAAAAAGGAAATAAGGTTAAATTCGTTGAGATTAGCAAGTGTTTAGGGTACAAAACTAGCTATTGATCAGGGAAGGCTTTGAGTGTTAAAAAATAGACATGTCTTGCTCGACCAGAGTGGCTCAGTGGTTGAGCGTTGACCTATGAACCAGGAGGTCATGATTCAATTCCTGGTCAGGGCATATACCCAGGTTGCAGGCTTGATCCCCAGTGTGGGGCATGTAGAAGGCAGCTGATCAATGATTCTCTCTCATCATTGATGTTTCTATGTCTTTCTCCCTCTCCCTTCCTCTCTGAAATCAATAAAAATATATTTTAAAAAAAGAAAAGAAATAGCTATGTCTTGTCAAGATAAATAAGCCTAAATTTCCAATACTAATTTGATGCACCAATTGTTAAAATATATTGTTGGAAATATCTTTTACATGTTGTAGTCAACTAACTTTGTGAGGTACCACTTTATACCTTATTTTAAATTCAGTTTAAAGATGTCTATAATTATAATGTAGAAAAAAATACAACTTATAAAACCAACTTTGGCTTAAAGCTGGAGCAGAGTTTCTTGACAATATTGTCTGTGGGGTCATAGAATATTCCATATAGTAGAGCTGTAGTTAGACAGTATTATGTTCTAAAGTCAACTTTTTTTCACTTTTTATTCCATCCATCCATCCATCCACACATTCACCAAATATATACTGAAAATGCCCACTGTATATGTAAGGCACTGTAATAAGTATTGGGAATATAGTTGTGAGAGAAAAAATATGATTTTGGCTCTCCTGGAGCTTATACCCTATTGGGAAAAGAAGGCAGTAAAGAAGTAAATAAGCAAATATTGTGATCTATGCTATGAAGAAATTAATAAGCTGCTGTGATAGAGAAAAATAAAGGACTTTATAAAATAGGGTTGTGATAGCAGATCTCTAACATTTATTTATTTTTTTAAATTGATCTTAGAGAGAGAAAGGAAGGGAGAGAAGGAGAGAGAGGGGGGAGAGAGAGACATTGATCGGTTGCCTCCCCCACGTGTCTTGACTAGGATTGAAAACATCACCTTTTGGTATATGGGAAGACACTCCAACCAATTGAGCCACACCAGCTAGGGCAAGGTTGCTAACATTTAAACTTAAGACCATAAAAAAGAAATATTTTCTGGAAAAATGGAGGGGAACAGTATATTCTTGGAGCTGTTAAATTAGAAACTATTGCTAATGGTGAACCACACTTATAGTGTATTAATTATGCAGTCTAGTGGATGGTTGGACTTAAAAAAAAACCACCACCACAAAAAATACTTTATCTCTACATATGAGGAGGGGAGAATAATCTTCAGGGAGACTTATCAAGCTCCAAAGTGGCTAAAGAGATCCCTTTAAATCAATACTATGTTTTAGGATCCTAATTTAAAAATATAATTTACTACTAGATATGATGAGATGGTGGTGCTTTTTGAGATGGTGGCGCTTTTTAAAAAAAAATTTAATTAATTTTTTTATTTATTGTCTAAAGATTTACATATGTCTCCTTTTTCCCTGATTGACCCCCCACCCCAATCCATTCCCACTCCGGGCAAGCCCCCACCCCCTCAGTGGATAGTGGTGCTTTTATAGTTGGAAGTTAAGTTGTAAAATAACAGACATTTTCAGAATTTTTAAAATTTCTTCTAACCTTGAATACAATTTTATTTGAGAAAGAAAAACCATTTGCAGAAGCTACTTACCTCCAACTCCTTAGAAGGAATTCCTTGATCTAGTAAACCCCGCAGCATTCGAATGACTGATTTCAACTTGGTACCAGTGTATTTACCAGAGGGAAGCACTTTGACGATGGGAAGTGCAGTGAGCTCCTCATTTGTCAGAAAAGGATGATCTAACAAGAGTTCAGCAGTTGATTAAAAAAAAATCCCCCCCAACAACTGACTTAGCCAATAAGGGAACTAAATTTAGTATATTTTCACCTCATGTATTTTTACATGAGTGAGAGAAGCTTTAGAATTAATAAGGCACTAGAATTAATTGGTAGGCAGATAAGTACAATCAACACAGGAAAATCTTGGCCACAGCAAGGCCCTTGTACTCAACTTTCAAGGAAACACCCTCACTGACTATTCAGAAATTCTTAAGGCTCTTGACTCAAATGGTACTGTTTTCTTGATGAAAATGTATTTAGTTCTACTATTATTTTGCATTTAAATGAGTTTCCTAGCACATGGGGAAAAGAGGAAGGGAGGTTCAGAAATTCCTTACAATGCGGCAATGCACTAGTGAACACTGATCCCCCCATCTACTCACTCTGGGTACTTAGTGTCAGTGTCTCTGGTATTTGATAGTTTTCTCCATGCAAATGAAGCCTTGAGGCCTTCAGGAATTTATCTAAAAAGTGCTATCAGTGCCTTAGAATAGGCATGTTTCTAATTTAGCACCTGGTCTATGGAAAGTGCTTATAACAGAAGGTAGTTATTTTGAAAAAAGCTGCAGAGATATCTTGCAATAGACTGCACAAGTGTAGCTTTAATTATGTCAATCAGTTGATTAAAGTATTCTGATGATGCAGCTAACACACAGTCAATAGTCATTCTAGGCACCGTGGGGCACACAAAGCTGTACAAGATACCTCAAGGAGCTAAACATCTGGCTGGGGTGAAGGCTAATTTTGAGTACAAAATTCACTCATATGAAATAACCGTGAACCTTCACAGAGCTGCGTGTGAGTGCAACAGGAGCTTAAAGGTTAAAGAGCACGGGCTACAGGAGTTGATGAGCTCTGTCACTGACAACAGTCTACCTAGATCCAAAAGTATTCATTCACTTCTTTAATTTCTTTTAACTAAAACTTCAAATTACAAAACCATGGTATTTCATTGCGTCAGTATAACATTTCCTTATATGAACGAAAAGAGAAATGCAACTCTGGATAAGAACCTCATTTCTCCACTGACGCAGTTATAAACGAGAGAAGCAGTCAGTGATAGGAAGGACAGACCAACGGACTCTAAGAGCTAGCTCTTAAAAAACGAGGTAGGGATTCAAGCGTCATACATTCCTACCTTTGAGCCATCCTACCTATTTTACTGTAAATAAAATGTGCTCTTTCTCATTTCAGAATGGCAAAATTGTGACTTTGTGTTTCCACTTATAGTTATACATTTATTTGTTTGTTTTACTCCAAGCCACTGAGAATTTTCACCTACAACTGTGTAAACTTCTGGTTACATAAATGAATGTTGATGTTTGCTATGTGATTTAACTTTATGTATAGAACCAAGTAATGTTCACATGTGGTGAAATAACATATCCATATATTCTGAAAATATAATTTTCAAACACTTATTTTTTCTATCCACTGAGTTTGATGAAAAAATTGCTAATAAAATTCTTGCCTTTATTGGAATCTTCGTGGTTTATTGCTTCTATTGGCAATTCATCACTCCCCCATGTTATTTCATCATCATCAGTCCTCCTTTCTTGTGAATTTTGAATTAATCTATGAAAATAAACAAATTTACAATATTTTCTTCAATTCTTCCATAATATATATAAATATTATGTCCTAGAACCACTCATTTCTTCTATAATTAGGATGGTAGTTAAAAATAAATTATCTGATTAAAAAACCCAAATCCACAATTCTTAAAATTTCCCCTCAAACAAATCCCAAGTCTCTGAACCTCAGACTGAAGAAGCCCTTGTAGGGATAGAGAAGGTGGTGGTTTGTTCTGCCTGGATGACTGAACACACCTGTGTCAGTACAGCTCTCTCATTTTTTAACAGCTGCACCACTGGACTGTACGGATGCACCTTCCTAACTTTCGAAGTCCCTACTGATGAACATTATTCTTTTGCTTCAGCCAGGAGCTGGCAGGACACTCTTGTCTCTGGGCACTTGCTCAAAGCTATAAAGCTCAGTACAGTTCTCATTATTCTAGGGGTGCACAGTAGAGGCCCTCTCCCTGGTAAGGTAAATGGCTAGAAAGACAAATTAGGTAGGAGAATAATGCTTAGTACTAAGATGAGATGAAAAAGGATAATGTAAAAGCCTGAACAAAGTACATTTGTCTAGTGCACCCCAAAATGTCAATGACCAGGAAGTATGCTGCTTAGGGTGAATGCTTTCCTCTGCTTCAATCAATGGTCACATTAACATTAAATTTGCAAGTGCTGTGTTCATGAGGTTGCTTTCGTCTTCTAGAAGTACATTTTGTCTTTAAGGATGTATTCTGGAGATCCGTCCATTAGGCATTCTATTCTCTTCTTTCTGATTCTTTTGAACAGCTCCTTAGCATTTCATTGTGGAGTAGGTGCCAATTTATTTGGTGTCTATTATGGTTTTATTTTACTACTATAAACAATATTGCAAAGGATATTGTTATAGAAATGTCTTTCCACACAAATTGGTAGTGGGACCAATTCATAGAAATAAAATTGCTAGGTCGAAGAGTATGTTTCAGTTCTTTGAATTTATGACACTGACCATTTGTATGCATTAAGAAAGAAATAATATTGTGTATTTTAACTGTAGGACCTATTACGATTTCAGAGATGTTAAAATAAAAGTATATCTAAGAATTAATAACATGCAAATAAAACTTTTATGTTAATAGTGTTTCCAATTACTACCTAAAGTACATTAATTGACCCCTACTCCTTCCTCCCCTTGCCCTGACAGTTATTGGCAGCTGCCCCAGATATTTGCTAATCTTGTAAGTATAAAATTGTATGCATTTCTACATTAATACACACCCCCTTGTCTAACTTGACATAGTGAAATATTCACTATCAATTTGCTTTTCTAGGAAAATCAAATATGTAGCTCCCTGTGGCTGTTTGGTTATTGCCTGGTATGAAGCAAAATTTATGTACAACCACTATGTTGGCTAACAATATATACAACTTTTCTTGATCTATCATTTAAAGTTACAAAAAATCTTATTTTATATTAGAAATTGTTTTCAAAAAGAAAAAAAAATAGTGGAATTTAAAAATGTTCCTTCTTTGGTTTTGTTTTCTTATTAAAATAAATAATTTATAAAGTATAGAAAAACAGAAACAGAAAGTGAAGTTACCTATAATCACACCAGAAGATAATCAAATGTCATCATTGTTGGCACATTCCTTTTAGACCCTTGTCCCAGTATGCTCAAGAGAACACTGCTCTTTTGGAGCAATGTTATAACAAACATACTGTCACATGTCACTAGAACCTCTTGTTAAAACTATTTTTAAAAAATTATTTATTTTTTAATTTTCACCCAAGGATGTTTTTATTGTTGCTTTTTTTAGAGAGAGAGGAATGGACAGAGAAAAACACTGATTTGTTGCCTCCCATATGTGCCCCAACTAGGGATCGAACCCGCAACCTAGTTACGTGCCCTGACTCAGAATCAAACCTGCAACCTTTTGGTGTATGGGACGATACTCCAACCAATTGAGCCACCTGGTCAGGGCTTATAATAATATTTTTAAAACAGTCTTAATATTCAGCCATAGTTCCATAATTTAAATAACAATTCTTATTTTTCTGGAAAAGACAATTTTAATTTAAAAATAAATAAAAGGAAATCTTCAGAGCACTTCTAAAATAAGTATGGAATTGTTATAAATACTTAAAATTACTTTCTTACCTTTCACTTTTTTCTTTTTCTTCACAATATTCTTCACAGCCATTCATTTTGGTAGACTACAATAAAGAAAAATCACATTAGCCCAAAGTAAAAAAATAAATAAATTAAACACTCTCATAATGTTCACATTTTTCCTGTGAATTATTTCCTATATGTACTGTTATTGCTCACCTTCACATTACAAAGTCACTTATAAAAACATAATTTATGGAGTGACATCAGAGGAATGGTGATGTGAGTAAGAGTGTATTTCTTCTTCTCCCCCTGAAATTTCAACAAGTTAACCAACTATAATTCAATAAAGAAATCCCTGCTCAACACAGGCCCATGCCCGAGAGACCGGCGCACTAAAACATCTAAAGGTGGGCAACCAAGAAAAAATGGAGAAACAAGAAGGGAGGAAAGTGCAGATGGCCCACAGCTGTAGCCCTGCAACTAGGAGCTTGAGCTTGCGGCTTGGCTGGTTGTGAGAGGGGAGAAAGCTGGTGGCAGCAGATGCTTCCTTCAGCTGGGAGGAACAGAGAGCTGTGGGGTGGGTGGGCAGCCCAGCAAAGAGAGTGGCAAGGGAGTAAGCAAAGGAGGACAGCAAATACCATGGAGAACCATAGCAATGAGGATGACCAAAAAGAAAATGAAAAAACTCCAGAAAGCAAGCTGGAACACATGGAAATATGTGATATAAATGACAGAGATTTCAAGATTGCAGTTCTGAAAATACAACGAGATGCAAAAAAATACCAACAGGCAACTCAGTGCACATCAGAATTTCATCCGAATTCTCATCAGAAACTCTACAAGCCAGAAGAGAGTGGAACCAAATATTCAAATGTCTGCAAGATAAACTACTAGCCAAGAATAATATATCCAGCAAAATTATCCTTTAAATATGAAGGAGAAATAAAGATGTTCCCAGACATACAGCAGCTGAGGGACTTTATCACCAGAAAACCTCCATTGCAGAAAATACTCAAGGGAGTTATTCTACCTGAAACAAAGCACATAAGGTCACAGCAATACAAGTAAGATCACCAAAAAACTTATAGCATTAAAAGGGATAATTTGTGACAACAAAAACATAAAAGGGGCAGGTTGGGGGTGTGGAATGTATGAACTGGCAAAGGAAGATGAAGATCAGATGCACTCAAAAGGAAAAAACTATGGTATATATGGAACTTCTTCTTTTTTTTTAACCTAATGGTAACCACATCAGGACACATAGCTACAAAAAACAAGAGTCAGAGGAAAGATGTATGGCATACCACCAAACAATGACAACAGACAGAAACATAAAGGAAAAGAACCAATGGAGGCACAGAGCTACCAGAAAACAAAAGATAGCATAGCTATGGAAATCCTCATACATCAATAATGACCCTAAATGTAAATGGTCTGAACTCACCAATAAGGAGGCACAGAGTAGCGAGTGGATCAAAAAACAAAACCCAACCATATGCTGACTATAAGAGATTCATCTAAGCTGCACAGACAAAGGCAGATTCAAAGTAAAAGGGTGGAAAATGATTATCCAAGCAAATAACATCCAGAGAAAAGCAGGTGTAGCCATACTTATATCTGACAAAATAGATTTCAAGATAATAATGATAATAAGAGACAAAGATGGACACTTTATAATGACAAAGGGAACACTACATCAAGAAAATATAACAATTCTACAAGTTCAAGAAGATTGAAATCATATCAAGCATCTTCTCAGATCACAATGGAATATTTACAATAGCTAAGATCTGCAAATGGCCCATCAGTAGATGAGTGGATAAAAATAGCTGTGGTACATTTATATGGAATACTATGCAGCAGTAAAAAAGAAGGTTCTCTTACCCTTTGAAGAGCATGAAGGGACTTGGAGAGTATTATACTAAGCAAAATAAGCCAGTGAGAAAGAGAAGTATCACATGATCGCACTTATATGTGGAATCAAATGAACAAAATAAACTGATGAACAAAATAGATCAGAAGACATAGAACCATGGGATAGACTGTCGAATCTCAGAGAGAAGGCAGAGGTGGGTGGAAAGTCCTAATTTATTATTTTTAAGGATGGACTGACCCAAAATATCTTGAAATCTCAAGGCACAAATTTGTGGGAACTCTCTGTACTTTGGTGGTAGGACAATTTATATAATATTTCCAAATAACTGGTAGGAATATTCTACCTCTACAAAAGTTAATTTTAGGTTTGTCCTGGGTAGTTTTACATCCCAATTCTTCCATGTGAATTTTAGAATAATTTTTAACAAGCCACCCCTGACTCTAACATAAAAAAAGACAAATATTTCATGGGACCATATTTAATTTATGGGTGAATCTAGGAAGAACTTAACTTTTGGGTTTTTCTATCAAAGAACAAGGACTATTTTGCTTTAAGACTACTTTTATGCTTTGTGAAGTTTTAAAATTTTCCTAATACAGATCATATAGATCAGGGGTCCTCAAACTACGGTCCGCGGGCCACATGCAAATACAAATATTGTATTTGTTCCCGTTTTGTTTTTTTACTTCAAAATAAGATATGTGCAGTGTGCATAGGAATTTGTTCATAGTTTTTTTTTTAAACTATAGTCTGGCTCTCCAATGGTCTGAGGGACAGTGAACTGGCCCCCTGTTTAAAAAGTTTGAGGACCCCTGATATAGATTTTTCATTGAATTTATATCTAGAACTATTGTTTTGAACTATTGTAAATGAAGTTTTCTTTAATTATATTTCATAATTGGTTAAAGCAAAGACTGTGTTATGGACTGAATTGTGTGCCCCCAAAATACACAGGCCAAAGACCTAACCCCCCAATGTGACTATGTTTGAAGACTGTGCCTTTGTGAAGGTAATTAAAGCTAAGTGAGGTCATAGCGATGGTTCTCTAATCCAAAGGGGCTGGTTTCTTATAAGAAGAGAAAGAGACACCAGGAGTGCACCAACGCAGAGGAATGGCAATGTGTGAGGTCACAGTGAGACAGTGGCCGTCTACAAACCAAGGAGAGAGGTCTCACAAGAAGCCAACTTGCGGACACCTTGACCTTGTATTTCTAGCCTCCAGAACTGTGAGAAAATAAATTTGTTTTTTAAAAGACACCCAGTTTATGGTATTTTGGTATATAGCCCAAGCAGAAAAGGACAGACTTCAAACTCAAATCTGCAGACACTAGACAAATAATAAAAACCTTTGAAATGCTGGGGTTGGGAGTGGTAGTGGTAAGCAGGGTTGGAAAATAGGAAATGGTAGGGTCTGTGGTGAAATAGTCATAGCATATTAGTAATCTAAATTTTGAAATTTAATTTTATCTTGTGAATTCTGAGTTTATAGTATAATATAAAGAAATAGGGCCTTAGCCGGTTTGGCTCAGTGGATAGAGCGTTGGCCTGCGGACTGAAGGGTCCCGGGTTAGATTCCGGTCAAGGGCACATGCCCACATTGTGGGCTCAATCCCCAGTTGGGGTTGTGCAGGAGGCAGCCAATCAATGATTCTCTCTCATTATTGATGTTTCTATTTCTCTCTCTTTCTTTCTCTCTGAAATTAATAAAAAATATTTAAAAAATAGGGCCCTAGCTGGTTCGGCTCAGTGGATAGAGCGTCGGCCTGTGGACTGAAGTGTCCCAAGTTTGATTCTGGTCAGGGGCACATGCCCAGATTGTGGGCACAATCCCTAGTGGGGGGGAATCCAGGAGGCAGCTGATCGATGATTCTCATCATTGATGTTTCTCTCTCTCTCTCCCTCTCCCTTCCTCGTTGAAATCAATAATTTATATATATATATATATATATATATATATATATATATGAATCTTTGTTGCTGTTGTTTATAATAAATATAGAATTTAAAATTCATTAAGGTATATCTATGCAGTAGAATACTGGAAAAACATTAGAAATTATGAGACAGGTTTTTATATACTAACTAGAGGCCCGGCGCATGAAATTCATGCGTGGGTATGGTCCCTAGATCTGGCCTATGATCAGGGTCATCTTCCCCAGCTGCCCGCAGCCAGACCTGCCACCCATCCCCAGTTCCTTGTTCACCATCAGGTGATGGGTGCCTGACAGCTGGGGGAAGGGACCGAGAGGTCAGCTGTTCCCACCTGCTCACCGGCCTCGCCCACACTGCGGGTGGCTATCAGGTGATCGGAGCCTGCCAGCTGAGGAAAGGAACCAAGATATGGTCAGTGCACATCATAGGGACTGGTCCAGTGGTTGTTCTAATGTTAGGGTCAATTTGAATATTACCCTTTTATTATATAGGATAGAGGCCTGGTGCATGGGTGGGGGCCGACTGGCCTGCCCTGAAGGGGGCCCTGGATTGGGGTGGGGGCCCCCCCGGGGGGTGGGGTTGGCTGGGGCAAGGGGCCGTGGGGTTTGCAGGCCGGCCCCGGCCCTGATCAGGGTGGGGGTCCCCGCTGGGGGGCGGGGCCGGCCTGGGCAAGGGGTCGCTGGCAGTTTGCAGGTGGTTTGCAGGCCGGCCACGCTCCTGGCTTTGTCAGGATGGATGTCCAGAAGACGTCCAGTCTATCCAGTCTAATTAGCATATTACCCTTTTATTAGTATAGAATGTCAGCCTGTGGACTGAAGGGTCCCAGGTTTGATTCTGATCAAGGATACATGCCCGGATTGTAGGCTCGATCCCCAGTCAGGGGTGTGCAGTTATTAATTACTCTTTTATTAGTGGAAAGAAGATAATAATTATCAAGTGAAAACCAAATTTAGAACTATATGTTATAATTTATATTTAACAAAATCACTTCTCTTTCTCTCTTCCTCTCTTTTTTTGATTTGAGGAAACCTATGAAGTGATTCTTTCACTGGGATAGGATGATGCTTAAGTGTAACAAATAAAATTAACCTCCATTTTCACCCTAAATGTAATGTTTCAGTAAAATAGGCAAATAATCTCAGATGATGTCAACTTCTTTTTTTTTAAAATTCAACAACATTTTATAATATACTAGAGGCCCGATGCATGATATTCATGCAAGGGGTTTGGCCCTCACAGCCGCGGTGGCTGCCTCGGCCCTCACAGTCCTGGCTTCGTCTGGAAGGTCGCTCTGCTGTCTGGTCTAAGTAGCATATTGTGCTTTTATTATTATAGATAGATACTGAGCACTAATTCTTATACAGCTTATTTTTACCAGTTTGGATCCAATTATTTCAATATGTTATGAACCAGTCAGGTGTCTAAATATTTTTAAACAAGTCTCAATTGAAATCTCAAAGTAATCATAGCAAAAGCCATGGAATAATTGGAAGAATTAGATGTTTCTGTGCTAATTAAAAAACCAAGAATCCACGAGGGGAAGAAGGGAGCATTCAAAGATAAAAGCCAAGTTTTTTACCTAGGTGAGGTATTAACTGGATGAGATCTTGGATTTCTCAACATTTTGTTTTGTTTTTTTAAAGAGAGAGAGAGAGAGAGAGAGAGAGAGAGAGAGAGAGAGAGAGACTTGTTGTTCCATTTATTTTGCATTCGTAGGTTGATTCTTTTATTTTTTTATTTTTATTGATTTCAGAAAGGAAGGGAGAATGAGTGAGAGAGACAGAAACATCAATGATGAGAGAGAATCATTGATTGGTTGCCTCCTGCACAACCCTGACTGGGGATCGAGCCTGCAACCCGGGCATGTACCCTTGATCAGAATCAAACCTGGGACCCTTCAGTCTGCAGGCTGACGTTCTATCCACTGTGCCAAACTGACTAGGGCCATTGGTTGATTCTTGTATGTGCCCTGACTGAGCAACCTTGGTGCACTGGGATGAATCTTAACCAACTGAGCTACCTACCTGGCCAGGGCCTCAACTTTTATTTGGTGTAAAAATAATAACATAAAAATTATCATTTGTGTGTGTGTGTGTGTGGGGGGGGGGGGCACCTTTTTTTTTTTTAAAAGAAAATTTCACCAAAGGAAATTAAAAGATTTATAGGTAAATTCTCTCTCCAAAATGAGTAAATGACATTAGTTCTCATGCTTAATGAGATTACTAAGCAGCCAACAGGATATTATCTTTATCTCATGTCTAAAAGGGAAATTGGGAGATAGAGAGAAGTAAGGCATCAGCAGAGAAAGCAAGTTTTAAAGTAAGGAGATATAGAATTCTAACAAGATGGAATATCCTACAGTGTTTCTCTAGGTAGTACCCTTACCTCTGTAAAATCTTCAGGTAAAGGTGATCCATCACAGTCTGTATCTTCTGCTCCCTCTTCAGATAACTTTCCATTCGTTTTCAATGCACCTGCAAGAGAAATAAAGAAGCCAAGAGGAGTTACAACGCTCCCAGAGACCTTCTTGCACTCCTTAGTGTACCAACTGATTCCTTCGGGCCCATCTACCTGGAACACAGGCACCTGCTGCCGCATTAGTTTGGTTTAAAAGATTCTGGGCTTCCTCATCCACAACATCCAGCAGAGACTGGATAACTTCAGCTTCTTGAGGGTCGTCATAAATATCATCTTCCTGTACATCAGATTCTTGAAAAACAGCAATTTACATGGGGTTTTACTTTTAAAATATTGATATAAGAAAAAGACAATGTTTCAAATAGATTAAGGCAGGTCTTTCCAATTTTAAGCATCCACTTTGAAAAGTAGCCATGAACAGATAAGTAGTTGACACTAATAGGGGGCTAATCACTTTTAGTTCTAGAACTACTCTGGCTGCTCTGACAAAAGACCACACAAATGCACCCAACAAAGAATAAAATAATATTAGTGTCTGTGATACACCTTTTTATGAGACATTAATAATTTAATGCTTATTTTGTAAATTAATCCAAAATGATTAATTCATGAAAGAAACTCAAGAAATTATGTTACAAAGATTAAGGATATGATAGAGCAGCCCAAACATCTCCAAGAAAAAATTTTCTAAATTATTAAGTAGCCTGTAAATTGTTTCTTCAAAGAATGTGAGAAACACTATCAAACAAAACAGCTATCTTTTCAATCATTTAAAAATAGTTTTAATCTGAGAAATGAGAATGAATCCTGGACATTGGTACAGTAATGCAGTTAACAACAATTACTATTATATTGTTCTTTTATTTCTTTGAACAACAAATGGTCCTTTTAAAACCAACTATAAAAAAATAAAACAAACTATAGGGACACGTAAGGCAAATAAGAGAGGATACCTAATATTTCTTTATTACCTGAATTATTAGAGCATTTAGAGAAAATGGATGACTGATTTGGAAAACTACCTTTGGACAGAATCAAATTTTCTGATCCCTTCATCTGAAAAGTAGAGCATTTTCCTTCAGGGTGCGAAACTTCTTCCCCATTAATCTAAAGCATAAAACCAAAACAAATCATTAGTTTATGATTTTATTAACTTCCATGGTTAGGGAGGAACTGTACATTGCTCCTCAATGTCCTTCTCCCCCATTTCTTAGTACAAAATCCATTTTATATCTCCCCACCTTAGATGTATTTTTAGGAAGTACGAGTGCTATAAAATGTGCAATGGAAATGGAACTTTCCATCATCAAATGTGTCTGGAAATCCTAGATTAAACATTAAATCAATATTTTTACTCTAAGAATTCTCACAATGCTTACTAATATAAATTCTGGGTTGCCAAAAGAGAAATTTATTATGCAGTACTTCCTAAACTTATTTGACTGCAGAAATCTCTTTTTTGAGCCATATTTTATAGGACTTATCTTTCATAGAAATTTTTAGAAAAGTTCAATATGGTTACTAAACTTAGAAGTTGAGGGGAAGGGCAGAAAATCAACCCTTTAAGTATTTGTGAAACTGTTACACTGACATAAATTTTAGTTTAGTGATCTGATCAATTGTTAGGCATAAAGATTTTCAAATCTAGTCTAAATCTCATCTCAATTTAAGAAAAATAACAATGGCTCATAACTATAAAGTAATTATTTATAAGATATAACTTTCTATTTCAATGCAATTTGTGAAACATTTCATTGTTTCAGAAAGCCTATTGAAAAAATGATTTGGTGCCTTTGCTGGTTTGGCTCAGCGGAGAGCATCAGCCTCCGGACTGAAGGGTCCTGGTTTGATTCCTGGTCAGGGCACTTGCCTGGTTGCAGGCTCGATCCCCAGTAAGGGGCGTGCAGAAGGCAGCAATCAATGATTCTCTCTCAGCATTGATGTCTATCTCTCCCTCTCCCTTCCTCTCTAAAATCAATAAAATATATTACAAAAGAAAAAGAAAAAGAAAAAATGATTTGGCAAAATTGAATAATTAGATTAAATTAAATAATTTTATGCAAATAAAGGTGTTTGTTCTGAAGATCTTACTCTTTTTATTAAGAAAAAAGTAGAGATGATAGATGCAACATAGTTATTTCTTCATAAATAGTAGTTACATGATGCCAAACAGTTTCACAGAATTGCGAAACTCCAATCTTTATGAGAAATTCATAGTACAGACATTTGTATTCAATGACAGAATATTGTTTGAGCAACTTTCTCGAAGATTTTAAGTACAACAAAAAGTGTATGCAGCTATGAAAACAAAACTTGTAGTTTCTAGGGTTTTATGTTAATATAAACAGATATTCTACCCTTCTCCCTTTCAACAACATGCTGATATTTAAAAGGAAAATAAGCACTATACAACATGACTAACACTCAGAACATGTTAAAATTCAGTTGTTTCAGCTACATGAAATTGAAGTTATTGTGGCTAAACAAAGAACTGAATGTTGCTGTATCCAATCCACAAACATACAAATACCAGAAATGTTTTATGTGTTCCAATCATTTCTGCCTAATAATTCTTCTGCACAGTATCTTTTCAGGCCTTCCTGAACCATGTTGCAAGTTTGAGATGAAATAGTGAGATGAAAGGCACAGAATTTTGGGCTTCTGGCTACTAAATTAATTTTCTCCTCCTCCACTCAATCTAGTTCATGTCCAGAAATTTTGTGGAGATGATAAGATTTTCAGATTATGAGGAGAGCAATGCCCCAAGCTCTGGATTGTACATGGAAAGACATTCAAACAGTGAGGTTCAGAAATACATTGTATAGAATGTGTGTGGGATTAAACAATCTCACAAAATGAAGATCCAGCTGTGATTATTTTATTTTTTTAATCCTCACCTGAGGATATGTTTTCTATTGATTTTAGAGAGAGGAAAGGGGGGAGGGGGGGAGAGAGAGAGAGAGAGAGAGAGAGAGAGAGAGAGAGAGAGAGAGAGAGAAACATTGATGTGTCAGAGAAATATTGATTGGTTGTCTCCCATATGCACTCAGAATGGGGATCAAACCTGAAACTTGGATATTTGCCCTAACCAGGAATTGAACCCATGACCTTTCAATGCATGGGACAACACTCCAACCAACTGAGCACATGGGCCACGGCCAGCTGTGGTTATTTTAGAATGTACATTACATGCCAAAAGAGAATCATTAAGCAAAATGATAGCCAAACTAATAGGCATATATGTAGCCTCTAAGAGAGAGGCTGAAGTAGAATTCAGTTATATGATAAAATAATTTTGTTAAATCACCACCAGGTTTCTCTGTGCTAATCTTAAATGATTTAGGCTCTTTCATTTTGTATTGGTAAAGCATTTTCTATGTCTTTTAAGAAGCAAGTAGCCACGTGCTTTTGCCATTAATGGTTTTTCCTTAGTAGCAACAGAGAATTGCCACATGAAAGTCACTGCTGGTCAACATTAACCCAGAGGACCAATTTCACTCTTAATTCTTCTCTTCCGGGTACCTAAGACAACCAAAGGAACTGTGCACATTCATGAAACAGCCTGGCACGAAAGCTATCTACTTAAGTAATTATCTTATTTAGAAGCCGAGTGTGTGCCAAACATAGTAGGGTTATTTGTGTGGGGGTTTGACTATGTGAGCTTTACTTAGCAAGGCCTACTAGTTCACTGAAATATATTCCTATTATCAATATATGTTTCAGAAAAAGGCAAATATTTAAACGTGTAATCAGTTTGGTTCAAGATACAAACAAGCTGGCTATTTAGATAAGGAAGTAGGGCACGAAGAAGGTGGTCTCTTACTTACCTGGGAGAATGAGTCCTTAGGAGTGAGGGCAGGCTTGCTGCAAGGCTCCACTGTGTGATGACCTCAAAGGGACAACATGGAGAGTAAGGGATGAGCCAGGCAGGACCACAACAGGGACACCAAAATGATGAAAGAAAACCCACGTGTCTGAACATGATCTTATTTTTATTAGTACATGAAAAGAGGTCATGTCATAAAATGATTTAAAACCAACTAGATGGAATCAAATGTTTGAGAAGGATTTACCCCAAGGAAAAAGCCAGTAGCTTAAAAGAAAATAGTTTGCATAAAAGTTCCATTCAGCCTGGTCGGTGTGGCTCAGTGGTTGAGTGTCAACCATGAACCAGGTCACGATTCAATTCCCGGTCAGCACATATGCATGGGTTGTGGGCTCGATTCCCAGTGTGGGGTGTGGAGGAGGCAGCCGAACAATGATTCTCTTTCATCACTGATGTTTCTCTCTTTCTCTCCCTCTCCCGTCCTCTCTGAACTCAATTATATATATATATATATATATATATATATATATATATATATATATATATATAGTCAAGCTGAATGGTTCTAGGGTGAGTTACTGAATATGAATTATCACAAACCAAATGGGAGAGACATCACAGGCCTTGAACTAGATTCACTTTACTAATTAAGAGAAGATAACAAGTCTTTTAGACTATCAGTTTAACACAGTAAAATAAGTTTTGGATATAATTAGATATGGCTAAACTAAAGGTTACTTTGAACTCTTAGTTGTAGAGTTAAGAGTTCAAACATATATTAAAATAAGATTATGTTTCTCATAGTTAAAGTCATATTAAAAAAATTTGCTTCACTAAATTATATTTTTAAGAGATTTTGAAAGACATGGTAGCGTTTGGAAAAGTTAAAAAGAAAAAAGAAATACAGGTAAGTGTATTCAAGGACTTCTATTTAATAATGACCTAAAAATAATTTCACCTGGAAACATGAAGGTTGAGATAAGTTTTTAGGGATAAATTTCTATAATTTTGTGGATGATGTTACAGAGTCCAAGAATGGCTTTTAATATTACTTCCAGAAGATACAGTACATTATTAAACTTCTAGGAAAAATAATGAATAAAACATACTAATAATAAAGCACTGGTTCAAAATAATCATATTAGAATAGTATAAAACACAATAGTTTATTATGTGTAATTGCTCCCTCCTGTTCCCTGAACTGCCTCCTCCCCCTTTGTCTCCAAGCAACCACTGACCTGCTTTCTGTCACTGTAGATCAATTTGCATTTTTCTATAATTTTGAATATATGGAATAATACAGTTTGAACTTTCTTCCCCCCCACCCCAGTCTGGCTTCTTTCACTTAGCAGACTTATTTGAGGTTATTTTAATTATGTTCCTGTGTGTACCAACAGACCATTTTTATTGCTAATTAGTTCTGCTGTTAGGATTTGGACATTTGAATGTTTTCTGATTTTGGCTATCACAAAGCAAGCTGCTAAAAACATTCTTGTACAAGTTTTTGTGTATGGATAAATTTTTTTCTCTTGAGTGAACAAATAAGAATGGAATGGCTACATCATATGATAGGTGTATGTTTAAATTTTTAAGAAACTTTCAAATTGTTTTACAAAATAGTTGTACCATGTTACATTCCCCTCAATGACTACGAGAGTTATTATATGATTTATCAGAATTCATAAAGGAATTAGTTCTATGGGAGTCAAGTAAGAGAACCCAATAAAGACAGGTCACTAGGCAGTTTCTACAAGGGGGACAGGGAGCAGTGATTTTACTCTCTTTAGCTTAAAAAGTTACAAACAGGAGTCTTTCCAGTGGTCACTAGAAAAATGCTCTCTGGTTGTTCTGATAGTCTGACCCTAATGTGAACTGGAACTATTAGAGAGTAGATAGAAGGAAGGCGTTTAAGATAACAGAGGAGGAGAGGAACAGATCTGCCAGCTTTCAGAAGATAAACTACGACTGCAATCTTACCTACTTTTGGTACTTAGGTGCTACTACCTGATAACCTAAAAGTTTAATTATGTATGAAGTACTGAATTTACATTTCATATACATTAATTTTTTTCTTTTTTTTTTTTTTAAATAATTCTTTATTGTTGAAAGTATTACATATGTCCCCCCCATTACCCTCCTCAAGTCTGCCCCCACCCCAGACCCTCACCACCCCATTGTCTGTCCATTAGCCATGCATGTATGCATACAAGGTCCTTGGTTGATTACCTCCTACCCACCCACCCTCCCCTATCTTCCCTCTGAGATTCCGCACTCTGTTCCATGCTTCCATGTCTCTGGATCCATTCTGTTTATCAGTTTATTTTGTTACTTAGATTCCACATATGAGTGAGATTATGTGATACTTCATATACACTAATTTTCAACAACATTTCCCTGTGCCTAACATTCTTATTATTACATTAATACTAGCATTAATAGCTACATTTGCTGACCCCAATTATGTAAGTGAGAGCATAGAGTCAGACATCCTAGGTTTAAATTCTAGCTCTACTGGATATTAACTCTATGAGTTTGGGCAAGTTATCACACTTCTCTGTGCCTCAGTTTCCCCTTCTATAAAAGGAGGATAATAATAACACTATGTGACAGGGCTGTTGTTGCGGAGACTAAAGAACTTAGAAGAATACTTAGTGCAGAACAAGCATCAAATCAACGTTAACTGCTGCCACAATTACGAATTCTAAAATTTATATTATGATGTTAAAATGTAAGACATATATTTTGCTTACTCATTGCCATATTCACAATGCCCAGAACAGTGCCCAGAACAGATAAGAAATTAAGTAATGTCTGAATAAACTATTATATAACAATTAACGTGATTTTTCACATACATTATTATATTAATGCCTCATTATAACTTTGCAAGGTAGCTAGAGCTCCTGCAAAACACCCTGCAAAGGCAATAAGAACATTTTAGTGATAGTGTCCGTACCTGCTTCTGGAAAAAACACAGTTACGTCTCCATCACTATTTGTGTTATAAGTGAATATATCCTTACCATTGGCTTTGGCTGACTTTGGAGTTGAAATGGCAGACTTCTTGGAACTTGGGATCACTGGCTGACCATCTCTGTGTTATAAAAAAATGAAAAGACAATTGCAAATTACTCAAGAAGTTTGTTTAAATATCTTTTCAACCATCTCTTAATTAGACTAAAGAGTTTTATTTTGGATGGGCTTTAAGGGGTCTAGGCAACCCCTAAAACCAAAGACAAAATTTCATCGGTCTTCATCTATGTATTTTCTGAAGGGAAATATTCTTGACCAAAGAAAAGATTAAGAATCACTTCTTTATATAATCTCTTTTTGGGTTTCAGTTCAACATATCACATTATTTCCCCTCTCATATCAAACACTGGTAAAATTTCATGATCTAATAACTTGGTTCTCTGTCACTCAAGTAATAGTTCAAAGACAACTTAGAAATCATAGATCACTGTTTTGTGACCCTAAAGCCCTTGATACGTGTTTTACTTTTAAGTTATTTAAAGTGAAAATCTAGACAATATAATATATATTCAAAGGACCATGAGAAGAATAACATCACCCAATATGAAAAACAGTAAAAAAGACCAAGCCTGTTTGGCTCAGTGGATAGACCATTGGCCTGAGGACTGAAGGGTTTGGGTTTGATTCCAGTTAAGGGCACATGCCCAGGTTGCGGGCTTGATCCCCAGTAGGGGGCGTCCAGGAGGTGGCCAATCAGTGAATCTCTCTCAACATTGATGTTTCTACCTCTCCCTCTTCCTTCCTCTTTGAAATCAATAAAAACATATATTAAAAAAGAAAAGAAAAACAGTAAAAAAGACAGCATCTTGGAAACAGAGGGTTAGCATGTAGTGTTACTACTGTTAATACTTGAGAAAAAAGGGGGGCTGCCTAAGGTATACAATGTTGAGAGAGGCAATTTGCCATGGGCCCTATGCATTCCTGCATAGTATTCCTGGGTGACCCAGAAATGCAAGGCCGAGACCACTTTTTATCTGGGACAATTCTCAAGGCTATGCTTGTGGTGAGCAAGTTGAGGGATGACATAACTTCTTTTCCCAAACAAAAAGCAGGCTTTCTAGCAGCCACCACAAAGGGGCAGGTTCCTGGGCTCTTCTTAAAGTGTTCCTCTACTGGAATACAACACACTGCAAGTGCAGGAATCCACTAGGTCCACATATCTCATCTCTGTGGGCCTCAGAGACGTGTGGAAGTGACACCAATACCATTTTCAATAAGTATTTTGTCTCTGATGCACAAGTTTCATATCTCCGACCAGCATGCAAGAAACAATAACTGGCTAACTTATTAGCTTGCAAGTAGGGTAAAATCACAGACCCTTTACCATTCTTGACATAGAGATAATTAACATAAATAAAAACCCCTCCATTATTGCTCTCCTGTGGATAAGGACAGCAGATATATCAACAGTGGAGAGAGAGAGAGCTAGAAGAACAAACGGGAAAGCAATTGGGACTACCACTATCATATCTTTAGTGACTCCAGAAAAGATAGAAGTAGAAAGAAAAAAGAAAGCAATTTCAGAGCTAGAGTAAAGGGTGCTCTACTGATTTTGAGGCAATATATATATAAAAAAAAAAAAGTCAGCTAAATCTCTGGTTTACAGAGATGTTAATTTTCACAAAAATATTTTCCAGGTTGTTTGAACCCTTTCCTTCCCCACCAATTAACATTCAGCTACATCTATGAAAATAACTCCATGCCCAATCTAATTTTTAAAATATATGAGAGAAAACAGTCAAGAATTACATTCAAGGAAAAAAGTACATACAAATAAGTTTACTATCAAATGATTTAATTAATAGTTCCTATATTTTGGGAGACACACTCTGTAAAACTCATCATGTATCAAGATAAAAATGGGACGTTTCCCTTTATATAATAGAAGCCTGTAGTCTAGAAGGCCTGGATCATGTACATTGTGGGTGGCAGAATAATGCCCCCTCACCCCTGCCCAGTGTGTACATTGTAATCCTCAACCTGTGAGTATGGAACCTTACAAGGCAAAAGAGGTTTTTAGATGTGAGTAAGGTAAAGTTCTAGAGATGAGGAGATTATTTTGGATTATCTGGCAGGGCTTGATGTAATCACAATGGTCCTTATAGATGAAAGAGTGAGGCAGATAATCAAAGAAGAGATGTGATGATAGAGCAGAATGCTGGCTTTGAATATAGAAGAAAGCTATGAACCAAGGAATACCAGCAATCTCTAGAACGGGATGGACAACCCCTGGCACGCGTGCCAAACATGGCACGCCAGTAACTTTTGCTGGCACACGAAACCCTCTCTTATAATCTGACCATTTACAATTTTCTTCTTAATATCGACTTTTTTATTTTTCAGATAAATTCAGTGTAGGTGCATCTTAGATAAATAAATAATTTTACATAACAAGTTATCTTAAAGACCATAGACATGGATTGACGAGAGAGGGCAAGAGCAATTTCTATGCCTCTGCCTTAACTCTCCCTGCCTTCCTAGACCCGACCAGTGTTTTGGTTTCATCCACATACGCTTGTGAATCTTTGTTCTCAATGATGAATTTTAAGTCTCGTAATAGGAGTAGCCTGACGGATGAAAGTAGTAGCTCGTGCGTATCTCTGAAGGTCATGAAATATAAACCTGATGTAAAATCTCTGTCATCAGTGATGCAGCAGCAAAAGTCCCACTGATAATATCAAACGGAGTCATAAAGTTTTCTGTCAGACTATCAGTGTACATGTATACATTAAAAAAATAAACGTATTTTTCATCATCATATACTGTGTTTTTGTCGCTCGAATGAATTTCATTATTTCTTCAAGGTTCTTCACATACGTGCACCTTAAGAGATATCAAGTAGGCGTAACATGTTCTCAAAAAATTAGGGTTGGCACCCAGAAGAATTTTGAGTCAGAGATTTTGCTGGTTTTGGCATGCACTCCCAAAAAGGTTGCCCACCCCTGCTCTAGAAGGTGGAAACAGCAAGGAAATGGATTATCTTCTGGAGAAGGAATGCAGCTCTGCCTTGCTTTTAGCTCACTGAGACCCATTTTGTACTTCTGATCTCCAAAACTGTTAAGACAATAAACTTCTGTTGTTTTAAGCCACTATATTTGTAGTAATTTGAAATAATACATATATTTTTCAATTTATTTCATTTTTAAGTGAAACAAAAACTACTATTAGCATTTCTTATTAGGTGGAATTGTTGTTGTGAGGTAGAGTGGGTGTGGTGATTCCACGCCTCAACTGGATGTAGACATGAGGTATAGGCTTGACTGTCCCGACACTGGGGGTGGACCAAGACTGGCCTAAGCCAATCAATATGTTCCTGTCCCTTTGTTTCAATTCAGGAACTGGCCTTAATTTAGATCTAAGACAATCAGCACACGATCCTTGCTTTACCACGGTGATTGGTGAGGCTTTTGAAGACTGCTCTGGATGGTGTAGTATGCAGGTGCGAGGCGTGAGCCTGACACAGACATGCAACTTTTGTGCAGGAAACATGCACAGATTAGAGAATAAAAACAGCAAAGACATGGAGCCAGAGGCCTAATCAAATTTTACCTGACTACTACATAACCTTTTTAACCATAAATGGCAGGAAATTCCCTTTCTTGTTTAAACCAAGTTGAGTGATATTTTCTGTTACTTGCAACTGAAAACATCCTAACTGACAAATGTAGTAACCACCCTATTAATAATCGCAAATGTATATCCAAACACGAATCTGCTGCAAGTGCTCTGAGAATCTCTTGTCGATCAGGAAGTCTATTTAACTTAAGTTCTGCCAGTTTAGTCTGTGCATTACTAATTCAGGAATATACCTTTAAGAAAACATAAATAAAACCAAGAGCTGGAAATGTGTACGCAGACACAGACAGAACCCACAAATAACTGCAGAGTAAGTACCTTGTTGCTTTTAACACCAGTGAAGGAAGTGACATGTCTAATGCTCTCTCAGCTGCTTCCACGGTCATGCCTTGTGTGCTGACTCCATTCACATAGTGGATGATGTCTAATAGCTGGAGATTACCCTCCGTCGCTGCAGCTGACCTTGGATTGATATCACTAATATATACCACTTGATGAAGGCTGTCGTGACCTCCAGATAAGGAAAAACCTTCAGGGAATAAAAAAATATTTGTTTCCTTAGCCTTAAGAGTATTTATTTTTAATCCGGCCAAGAAAAATCACACTGCATAAAGCTTGAATTTGCATTACCCAATTCTTCTTTGTTGCACGTTAATGTAATGTCAGGTAGCAAATGAGGCGGCACTGGCATCCTGGGTAATTCTAGAACTCTCCCAAGAACCAATCTGACTGTCTTGGGTGCAGCCCGTAGCAGATTCACTGCATCTGTGTGAGTAATGTTTGTAACATCTGTATCATTAACCTACACAAATGAGAAAGGAGAAAAAGTAAGATTATAATTTTTGGATCAGAGAAGTTGCCAAGGAAATATATTAACCCCACCCCCCACCCCCCGCCCAACTCAGCGATTTTCAAGCAGTGTACTGCGGCACACTGGTGTGCCACAAGAATTTTTAAAACATGCAATACCTGACTATTCAGGGGCACTGACCTCTTTTCCCTTAGATTGTAAAAAAAAAATAAAAATGACAACAGCTAACACAACAGTAACTGACCGGTGTGAATGAGTCAAAAAATTTTTGATACCTATTTTTTGTCTGATTTTCAAAAAATATATTTTTTGGTGTGCCACAAGTTTTAGCAATTAGTTTATGTGTACCAGATGAAGTAGGTGGAAGATTGCTGCCCTAACTTTTTTATATATAATATATATTAGCCAGTAAGAGATTCACAATAAAGACTGGTCCCTAGCCCTGATTGGTGTTTCCTGTGTTCCAGGAGGCTGCAGGTTTGATTCCTGGCCAAGGCACATGTTAGGGTTTTGGGCTTGACCCCGGGTAGGGGGCATGCAGGAGGCTGCTGACTGATGTTGCATTCTCACATCAATGTTTCTCTCTCTCTCTCTCTCTCTCTCTCTCTCTCTCTCTCTCTCTCTCTCTCCATTCCTCTCTTTCTTTCTCTCTCTCAAAAAAATAAAAATCAATAAACTATTAAAAAAAAAGAATAGTCTCTAATTTATTGGTAATAGCCTGTACTGTGAAAATATAATAAACACAATGATCAAGTAATTATAAGTAAAATATAATGTAAGATACTTAACAAATGCATCATTTTTTTGCTAGTATAGGAAACTTATCCTTATAGTAATTTAAGAAACTTTCTGTCCTTGAAACCCAAGATAACTTGTTTAATGCTTTAACTGAGTTGAGAGGGACTTCCAAATTAAAAAGAGAACTTTAAGCATTTTTCAAACTGTTAACTGTATAAAGGCCTTTACTTTTAAGAGGTAGAGAAGGAAAACAAACCAAACAGAGAAATAGAATGTTACATTAACTCAACCTTCTTATTCTTTCTCTCCACCTCTTGCTTGCTCTCTGGCTACATTTGCAAAAATTCATTCCATGTAGTATCTTACCTTTATGAGCCGGTCCCCAGGTTTTAGCCTTCCGTCGCTTTTGGCTGGATCCTGAATGACATCATGAACATAACAACCAATACTCTGACTGCCTTTGGTTACTGTAAAGCCCAGGCTTCCTTTTTCCGATTTAATTAGGGTAATGACAAGTTCTACTTCCTAAGGGAAGAAAACAGTGATTCCTTTAGGAAGTCTATTCTGCGTGACACACAAACAGAAAGATGACTGTTATTTCTATTGAATAACAGAGTGAGGAAACCAATCCCTAAAAGGTTACTTATCTTGTCCAAATGAAGAAGCCAGGCCTATCCAACTCTAGATAGAATACCCTCCAATGTGAAAGTTGGGTTTAAATACAACATTATATGTTCGTCTAGAGCAGTGGTTCTCAACCTTGGCTGCACATTAGAATCACCTGGGAATCTTTTTAAAATCCTGATTTCTGGGCCTCATCCTCCGGAAATTCTGTTTCTTTGTTACTAATGTTGTGGCCCCACCCCATAACAAAGAAACAGAATTTCCGGAGGATGAGGCCCAGAAATCAGGATTTTAAAAAGAATCCTAGGTGATTCTAATGTGCAGCCAAGGTTGAGAACCACTGGTCTAGAGGCTATCTGAGACAGAATTTACTCATGCTTCAATTCTTGTATTTTCAGGATAAACAAGGACACATTAGTGGCTATATCTTGATTATCGAAGAATACTTTCTGAAGGGAAGGTTCAGAAAATTCTTTATATATTTCTAGATAAGCAAAATAGATGTCAAGAGCCACAAAAAAGGTTTGTTTTTTTATTTATTTTTTCGGTTAACCCTCACCCGAGGATATTTTTCCCATCGCATTTTCAGAGAGAGTGGAAAGGAGAGAGGGAGGAGGAGAGAGACAGAGGAGAGAGAAAGAGAGAGAGAGAGAGAGAGAGAGAGAGACTGATGTGAGAGAGACATATCGATTGGTTGCTTCTGGCACATACCCCAACTGGGGCTGGGGATCAAATCTGCAACCCAGGTATATGCCCTTGACCAGGAGTCAATCCCGTGACCCTTTGGTGTGCAGGCTGATACTCTAACCATTTAGCCACACCAGCCAGGGCTTAGTGTTTTTTAATTTTTTTGTTAATATGAAATCTTTGGGTGACTACATATCACAACTTCATATATTTAGTTGCATACATTTTTTTTTTTTAAGATTTCAGCTGACACAAAGGTTGCTTACAGCTTATAGGGGTGATGACAGACTTCTTAGGAAATAATTCTAAGATTAGTTTCACTCTATTGCTGAGAATGAAACTGAAGATATAGATACTATTCACACACACACACACATACACACACACACACACACACACACACACAATTATAGGCAAACAAAATATTTGGAAAGATTAACTCCAAAATGTGTATGGTTTTTGGGTGGTGGGATAATAGTGTTAATTGTCTTTTTCTTTGTTTTCTAATTTTCCTACGACAAATATTTATCACATGAATAATAAAAACAGTTTTGAAAAAGACTAACTTTAGATCAGTGTAAATGATATTATTATTATTGAATATTTGGCTTCTAAACTCAATTTGTAGGCTTAGAAGTTCTAGGGCTATTAGTTCAATGTAAAGGAATCCATTTGCTCACACAAAAACAAGTATGGCGGAGAAAAAAATTTATTCAGTCTTGATTAAAAAATAATTCATTAGAATTTAGCAAATAGCAGATACTGAATTAGATGCTCTATGTATATTATTCCGTTTAATCCTCACCACATGAGGTTACTAGACCCATATTTTAAGGCCAAAACTAATAAGACTCAGAAGAGTTAAGTAATTTTTCCACAGGCATCTGCCAAATGGCAGTAAGTCAGCGGCAGAAACAGGATTTGCACCTAAATTTTTTTTTTGCTTTTTCCCCTAATTCTCAGCAGAGAGACATACTAACTATGCTATCTATTTACTGGACATGAATATGAAGGTATTTTAATACAGCATAAACAACTCACCAGCTCTAAGTCTTCAAGGTGGTTTTCCAAATTAGTCTTCAAAGATGTCAAGCTATCTTGTCTGGTTGGTTCAGAGGTGTGACGTATATGATATTTATCTGTTAAATTCGTGGAAATAGATTCTGTTTGGGGTGGTCCAGGAGTCACATCCAGTGGTAGAGGGGAAGGAGGATTACTACAGAGACAAAGAAACAAGACTTTTCAAATACATTTCAATGTCAATATAGTAAGTTTGTGCTGCAAACAGAAAACTTTAATATTCATATCGGCTTTTGATTGAGATTCTAGCTACTTTTTATCTGACTCTGGACTATGAATTTATCTCACATCTGTTATATGCTAACATTACCAATGTTCTATTTTGAAGCTCTTTATAAAATGCACAAATCAGTAAGACAGATTAAATAAATATACTCTTGATTCCTGGTTATTAATTTAAGGCTGAAGCTAATGTGTTTAAATTTACTAAGAAAGAGAAGAAGTAAGAAAATAAATGTCTTATTTCTGTGGTTATTTTAGATGATACAATAGGAAAACAAAATACTTGAATGAATATGACTGAACCTGGATATATATACAAAGACATAACCAAACAGTAAAATGTATGACTAACTATTGGAGGCACACATGTCTCTTTATATGCCTCTGTTTTCAATGATTTCTCCTTTTCCCATCTTCTGTACTCTTGTATATCCTACCTTATGCAAACTCTCTACCCCTTCCTCCATACCACTCCCTTTATATTTTTACTGACTACTCTCCTACCCCATCACTATCTGAATAGGTTTCTTCTCTTTCTGTCAAATAATCGGAATGATGGTGAAATACGAACAACTTTCCCAATTTTTAGTAAATATGCTTGAGAGAGCAGTAAGGCTCCGGTGGAATGGCTAGAGAGCTTACAGATTTGCTAACTAAAACTGTCAGCCACAATAGTTAAATAGCCAATAGAGTCATCATCTATTTAATCACTGTGAAATTCACTTACAGGCACATTTCATTCTTAGAGAAATGGAGATTGCTCTCCTGTTACTAACAGTTAGTTGTGTTGAGTGATAAGCATTACAATATTGGCAATACCTGGGCTCGAGTCCTGGTTTGCTGGATATTTTCTGAGGATAGTAAAACATGGTACAAATGGTATCTTCTTGACTCTTGGTTGCCTCGTGTTGATTTTGTGCCAGTGGTAGCATGTTGCTTAGAGTCTGCTGAAAAGCTGAACTCCAGCTCATATTTGGAATTTTTGCTGGAGCTTTCACTAAGTCTTCTTCTCCGCTCCCACTGCTGTCACTGTCACTGTCTTTCCTGGATGAGGATGTGCACTCTTTCTTGCTTTTGTCAGACATTTCATTTTCATCTGAGCTGGTGCCTGGCCCCACACATGCTGACTGAGAGGGCTCTTTACTGTTGTTTGGAAGTACTTGTGCTGGAGAATGCAGTGGGGTCTGTAATGGACACATTTAAAGAGACCTGAATGTGACAACTTATAGTAATTTTAGAACACTTGATAGAAACTGAACACATTCAACAACAGCACTTTCTATTAAAATATTCTATTATTTTTTATAAAGTAATTATACTCATTAGAGAAAAAAATCATATATAAAAATAACTTAATATTTTATGACTTATATTTTAAATCAGAATTAGAGTTATAGTATATATTCTGCTTTGTATCCTACTTTCAAAATTTAGGTTTTTATGAGTACTTTCTGAGGTCCTTAAATATACTTTGAAAACAACCATATAAAACTGTATAATAATCCTACAGATGGCTATACCTTTTAATTTATTTCAGAATTCTCCTTTTATTGGATACAGAGCTGGTTTCTAGCTTTACACTTTAATAGAAATCTAGGGGAACTTCTTTGTATGTAGATTTTCACCCAAGTTTCTAATTACTTCCTTATAAGTTTCTATATAATTAAAATAGAATTTTTTATAATCAGCACATAGGATGTTTTTAAAGGCCTTGTTAAATATTTCCAGATTGCTTTCCAGAAAGATTGTATCAATTTATATACATATCAAGAGAGCTCTACCAGTTCCTAACTGCTGACCCAAATCAATGTAGTTTCTCTCTCTCTCTCTCTTTTTTAAATGTAGTCTCTTAAAATGCTATTTATAACATGTCCTATAGAAATATTACTTTCCTATTAATAGCCTTCTCACACTTTTATTTCTGATATAAAGGTTACAAGTTTCTCCTGCCTTTTCTCCCAGGGGTCATGTTCACTGTTTATGGAACACTACTTTTTTAAAATCCTCATTTGAGGATATTTACTAATTATAGAGAGAGAGGAAGGGAGAAAGAGAGAGAGAAACATCAGTGTGAGAGAGAAATATAGTTTGCTTGCTTCCTGTATGCACCCTGACCAGGGATTAAAACTGCAACCTAGGTATGAGTCCTGACTAGAATAGAACCCATAATCTTTTTGATATACAGACAACAACCAACTGAGCCACCCAGCCAGGGCAGAACACTATTTTAAGTACATAGGACAAAGGTTGTCTTCCTTCCAAGGCTGTCTTATCTATCAGTATGCAATTTATAACTAACTCCAAAATAGATTTGGATCCTTTAGATATTCCTTGACATAAAAAAGGAAAATAAACAAACATATTTTAAAATATGTTTTAAAAAAGCAAAATATCTTAAATAATTCTCATTTTTATCTAATCTAACTTAGAATGAAAATTATGTTTCCCCGTTTGGTCCAATGAAGAAATAAAAAAAAAGGTTTTTGTAACCATTACTTTATGTCTTTTTCGATTTATGCTTAGAAAACAAATTCCTAAAATCTTTGAAGCTAGAATTTTAGAATTGGAAGGGAAAGAAGAGAAAGTGAATTGAATTACTTTACATTGCAAATATAGGATGCACTCAGAGGTTAAGTGACATATACAAGATAATACTCTTAGCTGAAGTAACTGGAATAAAACCCCAGAGATCATGCTATATGAAATCACTACAGCTGAATTAATCACTCAATTGGTATTCTACAAAAACATAAATTACTTTTTGCAGGTCTTACCAAAAGAGCAGGATCAATGTCTGGTAGCACACCAGGTGGAGGTCTGCAGAGAAGCAAGGATACTTCTGGAGATGTTCCTCTGAGAGCAGATATAACTTCCTGGGGGTGCCATAAACGACAAGGGAAGCTGTAGTTAAACCACCATTACTGATCATTTCTGAAAGACCAATCTATCTCCACATGCCACATGTGTGGGGCTCACCTGCTGAGACAGTCCTTTCAATGAGGCTCCATTCACCTTCAAGATAACATCCCCCACATCAATTTTTCCACTTTCCGCTGCTGGTTGCCCAGGGAAGAGCTTTTTAACCCTTACTATGCTGGTATTCATTTGCTCAGGTATAAGATTATCTTCTCGAGAAAAACTGAATCCTAGGCCTGAGCTATTTTTAAACAATTTTACCTCAAATGTATTCTCTGCAGAAAAAAAAAAATTAAAAAATTCTTACATGTTATGTATACATACAAACATAAATACTTTTATTTTTATTTATTTATTTTTTTAAAATATATTTTATTGATTTTTTACAGAGAGGAAGGGAGAGAGATAGAGAGTTAGAAACATCGATGAGAGAGAAACATCGATCAGCTGCCTCCTGCACATCTCCTACTGGGGATATGCCCGCAACCCAGGTACATGCCCTTGACCGGAATCGAACCTGGGACCTTTCAGTCCGCAGGCCGACGCTCTATCCACTGAGCCAAACCGGTTTTGGCCAAACATAAATACTTTTAGACACATTTTAAAAAGCCCATTTCCCCACCATATTTACAGCTTTATATGTACTCACTGTACTCTTATTCTATAAGCAAATCCTATTTCACAGTATAAATCAGAAAACTAAATGTAATGAACTAAGCTGCATGAACTAACTGCTTGAACAGAAAAGAGGATTTTGAAATAAGGGTTCTGAAAATGAAATTATGCTTACTCCCTCGTGTTTTAAAAGACTTTCGAATAACAGAAAAAGAAGAAAAAAAATCCAAGAGAGGAGAAGAATAACAAAAAGCCAGGTATGCAATGGGAGAGAAAGGTAAGAGCAAAACAAATGTTAGAGAAGGCATGGGAAAGATGATATTCTAATGAGTCGGTACAGTATAACATAACCCAGTAAATTGCAATGACATTATGAGAAAATTCTCATCATCAACAAATTTTTTTCTTAAATAAGCAGAAAAGAGTAAAAAACATATTTTAAAAAATGATGGAAGAAATAAAGAATATAGGACAGTGAGATTAAGTGGGTATACTAATTTTACTTTCATAATCAGGAAAAATATATGCTGGGTTGTATTTTCTCCTTACTTTTGGGACTAATTTAGAGTTGCTAACATTTGTGCAATCAAATAAGAATTTAAAATAAAAGACAAATAAGGACTTTATACCACCACCATCCTTCATAAAGTAAAGGACATTTTTCCTTTTATGCCCCTTAAAAGGAAGATAAATAGAATCTGAGAATAAAGGGGACTTCTGTATCATGAACACATTTAGCAAAAAGTTCAACACTACATCATTTTTAATTTTCTTATTTTGCTACTAATTAGTGGTATGTCCAAGGGCTGTCAAAGTTTGTAGGAAAGATCAGTTTCTGGGATCTATTAGGTAAATTTCTACTCAGGTTTAGCTTGACAAGTCCATAAAATTAAACGGAAATATAGAAAATGTAAAGGGTTAAAGCCATTTTCAGGTATTATTTCTACATTTTTATGTTTTTTCCCCTTATAGATATGAGCACTATTATAGGACGATAATCTGTTTCAAGCATGACTTCATCATCCAAAGTCTTTCAGACTCTAAAAGCAGCAAATATGTCCTTAAAAAAAAAATTCAGTGTAGTGCTACATCAGATTATTCACATTTGACAAGAATAATTAAAGAGACTCAGGCATGAATTGTATCCAACATGCAAAACTCAAATTTTGAATACGTGAAAGCTGAGATGACAGTGTCCTAAGGCCTGACCTTCAGTGACAAAGCTGTAGTCTTTGATAGGAGTCATTTTCTTCACCATTTTTTCTGGGACTTGACCTTGACCATCCAGATCTGAAAGGTTGCACTGTGGGGTTACAGGGGCATGTTCTTTGGATGCTGGAGACTGTCCCTTTTCTAACAACAGATGAACCAACTGAACAAATGAAAAAGCACTTCATTAATGAAAAATAATTATAAGAAAGCAGATCAATTTTCAGGATTTTTGTATAACTGATGGTATATATTTCAAGTAAATAACTGGTCTACTAAAGTATAGGGAGAGAAAAAAATGGAACAAAAGCAAGGGATTTGAAAATTTCAAAATTAAGTTTTTAATATTTTCTGTATAAAACAATAAATGATTAAAAAGAAAAAAAAGTCTATTATAAAATAACAAATATGCCCTGGCCAGGTGGATCAGTTGGTTGAAGTGTTGTTCGGTATATCAACAGGTTTCAGGCTCAATTCCTGGTCAGAGTACATACCTAGGTTTTATGTTTGATCCGCAGTTGGAGGACATCTGGGAGGCAACCCTTCTATGTTTCTCTCTCACATTGATGCTTCCCTCACTCTCTCCCTAAAAATCAATGAAAACATATCCTTGGGTGAGGATTAAGAAAAAAATAAAATAACAAACATATTATAGAAAATTGTGGTACTAGAATAAAATCGCCACTGTACTATAATATAAAGACCATTGTAAATAATTTGCTAAACTCCCTGACTTAAAATGTATTTCAACAAAATAAATTTAGCCTTGAGGATAAAGAATGACTAGAAGTGAAAATCACTAAATATTTGTAGATGCTGATGAAAATTTTAAAAATGTAATCTCCACCATTCCTTCTGTCAGATCTCTGGTAATATTAGGGCTAAATATGATACAGAAAGCCAGTTTCTTCAGTAAAAAAACTAAAACCTCTTGTCATAAAACTTGCTTTTTTTTTTTTTTTTGATACCTGCTTCTTAATTTGTAGAAAAAAATACTAGGATGTTTATATAAATCAGGCTTGGTTTCTTGATTAATAAATTTAGAGATTTCAATGAAATTGACATTATTCACACATTATTATGTTCTTCTATGGTATCTTATAAATTTGGTAGAATGATCTATTACCTGTCCCGTATTTCTCAGTGTTTCCACAGCTTGCTTATGGGTGGCTCCTTCCAGACTAACTCCATTAACAGCTAGGACACGATCACCTATAAGTCAGGCAGTCATTTTGAAAAAAGCAAATCATAAAATATAATCATGCTCTTTAATACCACGTGATCTTGTTTCGTATTAACTTGTTCAGGAGAGACTCAGACAAATTCTGGACAAAACTGTCACAGTTTCTTTAATGTGTATTTAATTTCTTTTCCAATTCTATGGCTCATCTTAGGTACATTTTAGAATACTCTATTGTATATATCGTAAAAGTGATTTAAATCATGGTATAAGATAAATTAAACTACAAATGTAGAGCTTTGGAGGGAACTAAACTAGTTAGTTCTGATTAGAAATGTAGATGTCACTGTTTTTACAAGGTCACTATCCTGTTGCCATCCTCTGGTAGTTTACTTCTTAGGAAGTGCAAAATATGAACTAAATTATCACCAAAATATTTTCTGATATTAGAGAATAAGGTGAAAAAGAAGAGTTTTGGGAATGACATCAAGGAGTTTTTTAATACTCAAGTCCTAAAATAATTGTATTATGTTCTTATTTTATATTAGGAATAATCTGAAGGTCTATATCAACTTTCTAATTTATATGTTGAAGTGATAACCCTCTATATAATTCCCATACACACAAATAGTCTACCTTTGTGAATTCTACCATCGAACTCTGCTGCTCCCTTGGGAAGAACAGCTTTCACATAAATGCCACCATGTCTGACACTGGTATTCACACCTCCCTATGTGGAAAAAGACAAATAAAATAACATTTGTAATACAAAAAAGTTCACACTCCATTTTTCAAATCTGAGACCCAGAAAGCATTCAATTTATCAGCGAAAGCAGCTGCAGCATGTCAGCACATGCAATTAGTTCAATACCCCAAAACATTTCTAGCTAAGTTTTCCAAATCTTAAAGCAGTTACTTTGTAGGAAAACTCTTTATTCAGAAAATAACAACATGCCAGATCTTGACTATATGAAAAATTACTCTTCCTCTGTAAGTCTATACCATGCATTATGAGCAAGCAGAAAGTAAAATTAGTGTGAGAACTTAGTTGTCAGAAAAAATAGTATATGGAATAATATACTTCTGATCATATTTGCTATTCTGAAAGCAAATCTCATGAGTCAAAGGAAAAAATTTTTTTTTTTTATTTTGAAAGATTTTGGTAGAGAAATTTGGTTATAGTGGAGATGAGAGGTAATGAATAGATTTTTCATTCTCATATGGATATATAGCTTTTATTTCCCTTTACAATAATAGGAAGATAAAATTCTAAAGTTAAGGTCAAAAAGGAAAGAGCTATAATATTTTTAAAAATGCAAGAGAAATCGGTCTTTTTGATTTTGATATATTATATATTAACTAGAGGCCTGATGCATGAAATTTGTGCACTGGGGGGGGGGGGGGGAGGGGTGTCCCTCAGCCCAGCCTGCACCCTCTCCAATCTGGGATCCCTCTCACAATCCAGGACTGCTGGCTCCCAACCACTTGCCTGCCTACCTGCCTGCCTGATAGCCCCTAACCGCTTCTGCCTGCCAGCCTGATCACCCCTTAACCACTCCCCTGCCAACCTGATTGATGCCTGACTGCTCCCCTGCCGGCCTGCCTCCAACTGCCCTTCCCTGCCGGCCCGGTCACCCCCAACTGCCCTCCCCTGCTGGCCCGGTTGCCCCTAACTGTCCTCCCCTGCTGGCCTGGTTGCCCCTAACTGCCCTCCCCTGCTGGCCTGGTCACCCCCAACTGCCCTCCCCTGCTGGCCTGGTTGCCCCAACTGCCCTCCTCTGCTGGCCTCCCCTGCTGCCCTGATCGCCCACAACTGCACTCCCCTGTAGGCCATCTTGTGGCCACATGGGGGCAGCCATCTTTGACCACATGGGGGTGGCCATCTTGTGTGTTGGAGTGATGGTCAATTTGCATATCACCTCTTTATTAGATAGGATAGTGCTATTTCTATGACATTTCTAAATCACTTTTTATTACTAATATCCTTCAAATACCATAAATGATGTTACCATTTAGGGTACAATACATTCATTAATAGAATTCTAAAGTAATTTTAGCAAGTAACCTATGCTCACATTTTAACTACTTTAAAAGTACATATATTCCTTGGGAACTTGTTATTTTAAAATACTAATCATGTTTACAACTTAAGATGTATTATGCAGAGAAAGGGCATATACATTAGGCTTATATTACTTATGATGTAGGTTAAAAGTATTATTTCATGTTCAAGCAGAAACTATCAAATATTTGTTAAATCATGTCAAATTAAGCAAATATGAAATCTATGCAAAAAATGTAGCACGTATGAAATCTATGCGGAAAATGTAGTACTAATCACAGGAAAAAGTGATTAGTACGCTCAAGTTTTTATTTTATTTTTTAACAGATTTTTATTAATGTCAGAGAGGAAGGAAGAGGAAGAGATAGAAACATCAAGGATAAGAGAGAATCACTGATTGGCTGCCTCCTGCACAGCCCCCACTAGGGATCGAGCCCGCAATCTGGGCATGTGCCCTTGACTGGAATCAAACCTGGGACCCTTTAGTCCGCAGGTCGATGCTCTATCCACTGATCCATACCAGCTAGGTAGGGCAGTATGCTCAAGTTTTTAAAAAAGTTTTAAGATGTGGTTCAATTTTTAATTCTGGAAGTATTTGACAAGTTTCCTTTTTGAAGCAAAGTAATTCACTTAATTAACTGAAATACAATAGGCTGCTGGAAATGGAGAAGAGAAAACATTTGAAAACCTTGTCAAACAGTACCGTGACACTTATCCCCAAGCTGTTATCATTTTTAGCCAGTTCAACCTCAAAGATATCTCCAGGTTTAGGAGGTGCTGAAGGAAAAGTTTTAAAATTCATTTTGTTGGATGTATTCATTGAGGAGGAAGATTCCTTAACAAAGAAAAACAAACAAAAGGATTTCTTGTTAGACTCAAAATGAATTACTATTGGAAGATTCAATATGTGTTATTTGGGTAAATTAAGAAAAAACAGATATTAAGGAATAGAGCGGATTCAAAGATCATGAGGGTTGGAAGAGATCTTTGAGATCATCTAATCCAATGCCTTCATATTTTATGGTTGAGGAAATTGAGGTCTAGAGATTAAAGGGTTTGCTTCAGGTCAAACAGCTTGATATGGCAGAGGGAAGGAAGCACGAACCCACTGCAGACCTGGCTTTTACATAACCCTTGTCCAATGCTTTTTAGACTCCCAAATTTGGAAAGTATGCCCATTTCCTTAAAAAAAAAAAATCAATATATAGTAAGCAGTAGCTTTTAACTTAGAGTTTTAAGATGAGTAGGCTTCATGTTTACTTTGCTTATGTTTACAAATCCAATATAAACATAGGCACAGCAGCTGAGCCCCAGTTATAAAGGCATAACCACCTTATGAGAAATGCTGATTTTTCTGTTAAAAAAAAAGGGGGCTTAAGGTTCTTTCCTGAATTTTCTTGTGAAAGTGCGCTTAAATTTATATCATTTCTAGGAAATGGGCAATTTTCTATATTGTTGTTCATCCATCCAAAACTTCAGAAGGATTTGGTTATCAAAAATAAGTCAACTGGCCATTCCATGAACTACTTAGGAACAATACTTTTCAGATATTAAATTCTCTTACAACATGAAGTATGCAAGAGATGAACAACTTGTAGAAAATAATCATCATCTGATTATTAATTTCTTTGGCTTATCAGGTAACAAGTTCCCAGAATAATAGCCATTTTAGAGTTAGTATTTAAAGCTGCTAATTTCTCTGAAAGTTAGCATCAAATGCAGTAGCAGTTAGTAGCATACTATATAAATTATTTCTCCTTTCTAGAATAATGTAAGTAGTTTATAGTAGAATATTCTACTCTGTAATTTATTTGCTGTTGTTTGTTTTGTTAAATTAAAAACAAAAAACAAAGATTCAAATTAAACTATGCCTTTTTTGGCGTTTGATGATCCTGACTGCCGGAGTAAGTGGCTTCATCCATGTCTGAGTCTCCACGATCTGAGTAATCTGTTGCATCAGAAATGCCTGGTTTTTTAGCTTTGCTTTGGTTACTGTCAGTAGAAGTCCTCTTCTTCTGAGTGGCTCTGGATATCACAGATGGGGAAGGGCTGCCGTGCTGTGACTCCTGCCAGGTCCGGTCACCTACGTGGCTGGCAAAGAAGCCATTGACCTGGCTCTGGGACAAGCTGGCACTCTCAGTCCTGGAATCTTGAGAACTCAGGCTTCCTTCCCGCAGCCCTCCAGACAGCCCGAAAGAGCTCTCTGAGATGTGCCTCAGGGTACCACGTGGCCAGCGGTGATCCTCAGAAGAATCTATAGTGCTGCCTTGCATATAGGAAGGTTTCTTCATGTAATTTTTCATGCCATTGGCAATGTGCACAGGAGTAGAAGGCACTAAACGTCAAAATTCAATGAAAATAACAGGTTAGTGACACACACATGCCTGGGCTTACACACATGCACAACGTTCCTGACGATTGTTGGGAGGATTTTACATAGGAAAACACATACATCACACCTGATCTAGGGCCTGAAACCATGACAAGAACCCAACAAATACAGTAGATGCTTTCTGTTTCCTTTGCTCATCCCTTTGGTTATTCTTGAAGCAGCTTCTATGGAAATGTGAAACCCCTTCATCTTAACTCCTCATTTCCATTCTCTAAGGCCTATTTCAAGTAATCTGTCAAGGCTTTCTTGATTCCCTAACTAGAGATAATTTGGGGCTCTAAAGATCCTTGTTCTTTGTTTAATGATTATTTATATATTTGTTTATAATATTGTCTTACCAATTATTCCAAGTGATTCTCAAGAAAGGCAACTCCCCAAATTTTATATATAGACTTTATCAAAATCCACTTAAGAAAGCTTGCCTAAGTAAGACACAAACCACATGAGCCATTTGTAAAAAAAAAAAATACAGATGCAAATTTATAAGACACTAAAAGTTTTATGTAGTAAGCAAAGCCAAAGAAAACTGGAGAGTAATGAGCAGCTGGAGAGAAAATATTTGGAATAGTAACAAAAAATAATCAAAGAGTTAATACCATTAATATACAAAGTGTTTCTAAAAGTCATAAGAAAAAGTTTAGCCCTGGCTGGTGTGGCTCAGTTGATTGGAGCGTCATCCCATGTACTACTAAAGAGTCGCATGTTCGAATCCTGGTAGGGGCATGTACGAGAGGCAACCAAATAATGTCTGTCTGTCTGTCTGTCTGTCTCTCTCTTTCTCTCTCTCTCCTTTTCCCTCCTCTCTCCCTAAAATCAATTAAAAATAAACAAACATTGAAAGGGCGAGGAGTACGCCCTCCACCTTGCCCCAGGGTAAGGGCTATGCCCTTCATCTTAACTTGGCCATGTGCTCAGCAAGCTTCTTCCCGGAAGATAGTCAAGGGAAGTGCACGCCATCACTATGACCACATCCTGTGTACTCACGCCTGGCCAATCAGCAGGGCCCACAGTCCTTTCTCCTCCCCTTACCCTAAACCCCTATAAAACCTCTCTCCACACAGAGTTCTCTCTCTCTCTCGGCCACTGGAGCTTACCGTTGCATCGGTGAGTGTGGCAGGGGAGCCAAACCTAGGTTTGAAATGAATGACTCTTTGCTTTTGCATCGGACTCGCTGGCTCCCTGTGGGTTCTTGGGAATCATGAAATCTGGGCACAACATTTGGGGGCTCGTCTGGGATTCCCAAGACCATCGAGGGACCCCCGATCCGAAGAGTCTGACTGACCGCGGTATGTGTGTGTCATTGTATGTTCTGTTCAGTGTGAGCTCGTTTCTGGAATCTGTAATTGCCTGAGGGGTCTAGGCGGACGCGCCGTGAACGACCACAGGCAGGGGAGAGTTGGAAGACGTTCCGCTCCCCAGGAGGGATGGATATGCCCCTCACCCCAGGAGGGATGGATATGCCCCTCACGAGGGATGGATATACCCCTCGTGGATTTGAGACGAGGCAGGTCGCTCCTGCCGGTTTGGCGTAAGGCCAACGTCTAGTTGCTTCCATGGAGTTGGAAGCCTGTATTTTCGGGCCCTGTTTAGTGTTCTGTGTTTGTACTGGATGGATGTTATGGGATGGACTCAGACTGCACCTTTGGGTATTGTGATTGATCATTTCAAGGAGATTGGGGGAGGCTTTAGAGCTCCCTCAGGAGTTGGGAAGTTGTTAGGAATTGAATGGATTGTTTAAAGTCTGAATGAATGTCTGGTGAAAGTGTGGGAGTGTGGAGGGAGGGGAATTGCCCTCCCCCCTCCTTTGTGTGGCGGTCGGGCGGCCGCCTGAGTGAGGGTATGTGGAAACAGGTCACCCCCTCCCCAAGTAAATGCGTCTGGGACTTCTGTGCACGTGTTAGGAGAAAAGCTGGCTTAAAACTAATGTGCGCACCGTCCGTTTTTGGATAGGGTTTTGGGCTAGTGTATTTAATTTGCTACCTAAGATTTTAAAAAGTTCTGCAATATAATGTTGGCCATCTATCTTTTAAGGGTTTTGGTTTGCTCTTCCCTTGTTTACTGTGAGAATGAGGAAATCATATTTTCTGTCAGAGAACAGTTTAGACCGCCACAATGTTGAGCTGCCTGACTTTGCAGCCGCCATGTTGGCCGCATGGCATGCCGTGCCCCTGGGGGCCGCCATCTTGGAACAGCAGGCCCCTCCCTCTGACTTAGTTAATCACAAAAGGAATGTCTGCTCACTAAGGCAGGATGGGATTTCAGGGGTGGAGTTTTAGGCGGAGTTTTACTAAGGAAATGCAGATGGGGCAGAAAGTGTGCCTGCCTCCCAGATTTATTTAATACTAAATTAGCAATCATGGTCTTAATATAATTTTAGTGGTATGATAGACCAATGTTTTGAGCAGTTGGCTTTATAAGGGCCGACAATAGAGCTTGTATTTCTTAAAGGGCTTGTAGATAGAGAATTGAAAAGCTTTTACAAATTCATAAATGCATCCAGGATTTCTGTGCACATGTAAAAGAAAAGGCCAGTTTAAAAACGAGTGCGCATAGTTTTGAGCTGAACTTGACCTTTTGCTGTGTACAGAATAAAAACCCGAGACTGTTTTGGCCTTAATAGTTATGGGTTTGCTTCTTGAATTCCCCAGCACGAAAATTGTGACCATTTTGAAATTTAGCAGCTATGCCAGGATAGCAGTAACCCAATTTCTAAAGTAAAGTACAATTATTTCAGGTAGAAACTGTGGTTTAAAAGTTCTAGCTACCTGGAAAGCATGGCCTTGGTATGATAGGAGGAAAAAGAAATATTAAATGAATGGTAAACCAGTGAGCTGGGACTGGTCACTGATGGTGGATTGTGAAAAGGGCTGGACGTGGCCTAACGTCTCCTTCCTTGGTACCCCTGAAACGTCTGAGGGTACTTCTGGCCTTGGTTTTCCAATGTGTTAAATCTGTCGATTTTGTTGTTTCGCCGAAATCCTCTTGAAGGACATTGAATGGTTCTTTCCTTCCTCTTTAACTTTTGGGGGATTGTGTGGATGGATTACTGATGTAGATTATCAAGAATCTCTAAGGTACTTGTCCTGTATCTGGAGGAATGGCTTCTAGATGGTATTCACCGTCTCTGGGACTTCCGGAGGGAAGTCAAAGCTCGGACTGGCTAAGGGTTCGAATCTGGCCTATCTTTTAAAAAGGTAGAAAAGAAGCATTCCTAAGCAGTTTTCTACTGCCTCTGTTTAGGGACTTGTTCTGTATCTCGACACAACTGAAACTGATTTGTTGGTATTTTGTGGTATAAATGTGGCATGTACCTCGAAGTTCTTAATGGGGAATGTATCTAGTTATCGTGCCTATTTAGTCTTGATTTCCTTGTTCAATATGAGTACCGTTTCTATCTGGATGAGACATAGGTCAAGAATCCTGTCCTGGGATGTGGGAAAGGGAGGCCTCCACATCTGTTCCTGTCAGGCCCCCATCAGGGGACTTGGGCGGTGTTCCTGTTATCTGCTCAAGATCCCAAGACTGTAAAGGTACTTGTTCACTGAAAGGGTGTAAGTGTAAATATTTATTTGATGTTTGTATGTCTACTTGGGTATAATTATTTGTTCATGTAAGTGTGGAAGTCTGTGGAAAAAAAAAAGTCACACGCTTGCCCCAAGAGCGCTTGCTCTCTGTCAGAGGTGGAATCAGCCCGCCTAACTAGTAAACATCTCTGTCTGTTTGTTTGCTGGGAACTTTGATTTGCTATGTGATATTCTGTGCTAGGTTGGGATTTTGGAATTCTGGGGTAGATTTAAAAGGTATTTGTGGCTTTTCTAGTCTGATTGGGACATTTAAGGGTGGGGCTCACAGTTCCTCAGGGCAGAGATTTCATGGGACCTTCCCCCTGCCTGTGCTGAATTAAATAATACAGGCCAGTGTCATTTGGCTTGCTGGTTAAAGGAAGACAATGGGCCTTAGAATCTGTAAAGGTGAGCGGGAATGAAGCTGGTCAAATGTACTGAAAGGGTTTGGTACCTGTTGCTGCTGTAACTGATAAACAGGGTTACCTAGAAGCCATCAGGACTTTGACTCGGAGACTGGCGAGGACTGGGTGGCTTTTCTTTAACAATCTCTTTCCTTGAGAGGGCTCCAGAAGGTGCACAAGGACATTTGGCCGCGCCTCCGCGCCATCTATGAGACCAGCCCAACCCCAACTCCTCATCAGCACAGACCAGGAGATTGGGTCTACGTCAGAAGGCACCGCCGGGAGACCCTAGGGCCACGTTGGAAGGATCCCTACATCGTGGTGCTGACGACCCCCACCGCTCTCAAGGTAGACAGCGTCGCGACCTGGGTCCATCCGGAAAGACTTCATCACCAAATGGAGCATCGATCGAGATCAACGCAACCCGCTCAAGCTCAAGCTACGGCGTGCTCGACCTGCCTGATGCCGGTAACATGACTTGGGATCACTCCTGTCACCAGGAGCCCCCACAATACTGTGTAATAATGCCTGCATCTTCATGGACATGGATCCAAAGAGACAAGGACAATTTATAGGATCACATATTTAGTAGCAGAAGATTTGGCTGCCTGAAGCGGCCATGATGCCAATATTATGTTTCATTGTATTGATATGTTATATTAACCTTTGATTCTTTTGCAGGTTTGAATGTATGTTGGCTGTCCTGGAAGGGAGCTGTGTGGGGTGACCCCCAAAAGTAAAGGGTGCCTAGCTGCCAAGAGGGCAGGTGCCCAGCTGGGCAGGGAAGGGTGCCCATCAGGTTTTGGTCTCTGTTGAGAGACAGCTAACAGTTGGCAGCCTGTAATACTGTCTTGCAGACCTGAGTCACCATGCCCATGTCAGGGTTAGTAAAGCTGGAAAAAGCCTGTTTAGAATAGAAGGTCTGAGGCATGGTTATGCATAGAAAGAAGGTTTTATGCCAACAGTTACTGTTTTG